CCCGCATGATCGGCACACCACTCGCACACATACGCGCACAGTGTGCTGGCACTCGGTTGAGCAGCTCGAGCTCGAGTCTCGACTTCGGTCTCGGTCTCGGCTCGGTAGCGGCATTCGGCAGCGGGCACAAAGAGAGGCTACTGTAAGTCATTGCAGGGGAGCGAGCGGCTGCTGGGGGTTGTCTGCACAGTCACAGTGGGTCGAGACGACATTTACTGGGCAGAATGTACAGCAATCATGGCAAGCATTTCAATGGATTGTGATTTAATTTGTAGTCCATTCCTGTGAATACAAGACTTAAGCATTGGAAAAGCTTTAAAATAGAAGGCTAATGGGGAAAATTGCCGAATTTACTGCAAGAGTAGAGAAAATGAAAAGCTTATTAAGATAAATGGAACTCTTCCGAATGGATAATTTATAATATGATGCATTTCCAATATCGATACATTTCCAGAACTTAAAAACATTTAAATAGAATCATAAGGAAGTTTTTGCCAGAAGGAGCATTATTTTACGTAAAATGTATAGTCTGCTTTTTGGAGTCAGGCAATTGACGGAAGTGCGACAGAGACTCACATGAAAGGGTGCAAAAAAGGCTTATTTACTTTAAACTTTACCTAAGAAGTTTAGTTAAAGTAAAATAGATATAATAATGGAATGATATAAATCCAAATGTGTAATTTCCCGAAAATGCATTTGCCACTTTTCGTTGCATTCCCAACCACTGTGCTCGCGCAATGGGAGCGAGAGCGAGCGTGCCTCGCACTGTGCCTGTGCCTGTGCGCCTGTGCTCTGGCGCGCGTCGTCTTCAATTGATTGCAGCAGAGACCCAGAGGGAGCCAGCCCCAGCGTCGGCATTCGGATTGGATCTCATTCTCAGCGACTGCGCGTGGCTCTCAGACTGCTACCACACTGCTTCGGTCTGCCATTCTCTGTCTCTGTTTCTGCCGTTGCTCCTCGCTCTGCCTCTGCCTCCGGCCTCCGGCCCCGTTGCCTTTGCCCATGTCATACTTATTGTCAATGATGACAGTTGCGCTGCCGCCGCTCTACTCGACTCGGAACGGATCGGATCGGATCGACTCGGCTCGGGCTCCCATTCGCTGTCCAAGTCGATTCTCTGTCTCTGTCCGTCCCGCAAAGAGACATGGGGGAGCCTACAACTACTACTGTGAGTGTGATTGTGGGACTCTCTGGGTGCATGCTTGAGTGTGTGTGTGTGTGTGTGTGTGGTGCCTACTTTACGAGACCGTGGGAAACAGATTTGTCGTGTGTTTCCCACACGTTGGACGGATGGCTGGATTGTGATGCGATCCGATGGATTGCTGAAATGTTGTTGCTGTTACTGCCGCTGCTGCTGCTGCTGCTGGTTGTTTTTCAAGCGGGTTGACTGTGTGTGACGACGATGGTGGTTTGGGGGGGGCAGTGGGCGACCACTGCGGGGTGGCTGGTGGGGAGGGGGTAGGGTAGATGGCGAGGGCAGGGGGCTGGCTTTAACTCGCGCAATTATGTCGCATGCTTCGCTGATGATGATGACTGCGACAACTACAACCACAACTACTATCACTGTGCTTTGACTGTGCCTCGACATTTCGTTGAAGCGTATCGATTAAGTGTAACAGTTGCCCTATCTCCCCCCTCCAGTCTCTGTGTGTTGGTCGGGGGGTAGTGGATTCCGAAAATGGTTTTTGCATAGGCCGCCGCCGCCGCCGCCACAACCCTTCTAGTCGGTTTCGTCATAAACTTTAACATCCGGTTGTCGTTCTAAGATTTTTGTCGTCTCACATCTAAGTATGAGCGAGTATATATACATATTTGTGTGTGATTCCGCTGATCTCAGGGCTACTGCTGGTCAGCAGCCACAGAGTGTACAAAATGTTGCCTGGTTTTTATCGTTTGTCCCCTCTCTCTTTTTTTTTTTTTTGCCGCCTCGACTTGTGGCAATATGACACTTGTGGTCGGACGCCTCAGAGTTATTTTTCTGGCTTGGCTTGGCTTGGCTTGGCGTTTTTGCCTGGCTAAGCATTTCCCATGATGCTGCAGAATCGCTCTGTTTCTGTTTCTGTTTGTTTGTCTTCTGTCCATGACTTCCGCTGGCCGTTTTGCCTTTCTGAGTTTTCTGCCTTTTCTGCTGACTGTGGCATAGCGGCAGATCACAATTAAGCGGCATCTCTCGACGAGAGGCATTGGGATCGGCTTGCAAGATCCCATGATTCCTCTCAACTTTCAACCTCTGCTCAGCGGGCACACGTGGCGTATGAGCAATGCAAAATAACCATCAACCGCAAAGCCATTTTCGACTAACCTCAATGCACACTAATTGCTTGTCATATACTCTTATATGTATATGTCTATATGGCCACAATATGAGCATGTCAGTGTGTGTGTGTGTGTGTGTGTGTGTGTGCACAAAACTTGTTGCCATCGCTGGCCATCGTGTGAACCAAGAGCTTAAAAGCCAAATAGTTGCTGATGGGCAAAAGCGAATCGAGTGGCGTTTGGACACCGAATGGGAGATGCTCTAACATACGAGGGTTTAAATTGAAGGAACGTTAAAAAAATCTAAAAAGAAATATAATTTAATTTTATTTTATTTTTAATTTATTGTGATTTAGGTCTTATTTATTTATCTTTAATATAGTTAAAAACAGCCCCAAGAAAGATTGCATATGCATAAATAAAATCCTCCTGGATAATCCTCATAAATTTGAGTCTCTGGCGTTGCCTCAATCCCATCTGAATACCCCCCGCTCATAGCTAGAGTAAAAATCGCCTAACGACTTGGCGGCTCAGACCTCTGTCTGTCCATCCATAAGGCGCAAGCGCGGGCACAAGCTTGCCTCCGCTGTAGCTGCAATAGCAGTCACACAGTTGGCTTCAAGCTGGGGTCCCAGAGTCGGCCGGTGTCCGTCCGTGTTGCCAACTCAGTCGCTTTCAATTTAGCAAACGTGCAGTTCAAAGCCTAGACGCTGATTGGGGGCAAATGTGCGCGGTGTACACAGGGGGGCTGGGGGGCCCGAGTGCGACTCCGCTCAAGATTAATAGCGGCCAAAGGCAACCGAGTCTCTCTGGTGGGCAGGCGTGCGGTGCACACGCGATTGGCACGAGTTTCGGCAGCCTAGGCCCGCCGAGGGGCAGCAACAGAATCACAGAAACAGAAACCTGGTTCGAGCCAGAGAGCTCGTCTAACTAGTTCTCCCAATGGACAGACTGATGGACTGACGGAGCGGGGGCTAAGTCCGATTGTGGTGTGTGTGTGTGTGTGGGAACCTGCGAGCAAGGCAAGGACTTGCAGCTCGCCCAAATCAGGTCACGGCCTCATTAGAACCTCACTCCATCACCATCGCCATCCCCCATGCCCATACCCCATACCCATAGCCAGACTACACCGACTACGTCGAGATTTCCTACTCGGAGCGTGTGAACCACAACATGTCATAATCCCCGTCGATGCGACTCTACTCGTAGTCCCTTTTTAAAATGAACTTATCAGCGCCGTGGCTCCGAGCCTTGATTATAAATGACAACAAACAGGCCAACAAGTAGCAATAACAGCTGCTCAGCCCCCTGCAGCAACAGCAGTAAAATCACAAGGAAAGGAAACAAAAATAACAGCAACAGCAACAACAGCAACAACAACAATAATAATAATACAACCCGAAATCCGAAAAACCAAGTGAAATTCTTATAAGCCCTTTCCCACACTCGCAACGACGTCGACGCTGTCGAAGACATCGACCACGACGCCTGCGCCTGCGTTTCGGGGTCCCAGGACGGAAATAGGCAGCGTCTTAGTGCCATCAAACTGAAAAGGGGAACAGGTGCTGTCAGGGCCCTGGCACTCTCTGGGACCCTCTGGGTAAGACATTCGACTACGTCACTGTGGCGGCCCTAGCCTCCGCAAGCCGGCTGGACAACAAACCCCATGTACTACTGGGCTCCGGGCTCCGGGTACCGTGTGAATGTGAAAACAAAGTCAGTCGTGCATAAATGACGAACAGGCGATTCGCACACTGGGTACAAAGTGTATGGGAAAGTGGTGTGGCATATATTAGGAAATGAGGGGAAGAGCAGCAGCATAGAAGGTGCAGAGTATTTTACAGGAAAAAGGAAACTGCATCCATAAAGTTGTGTTGTAATAAGTTTAAGTTATATTGTTTAATTTGGATTAATAATATTTTAAAATTCGAATTTATAATTCTATAAAAATGGTGGAAATAAGAAATATTAAATTGAATAAATTAAATAAATAAATATTATATATATTAAATTATATTATATTAAGTATTATATTAGGCAATTCGGAAAGGATTATTGGGCATATTAATAATAGGCAGAACTATGCAGATAGATCAAGTTTAAATATTTCAAATAATTCCCCTACTAAACCATTAAAATCCTTAGCCAAATGGCAAAATCCTTACACTTAACCGAGCATCTTGAACCACTGTGCTGTTGCCACAGTCTCTGGCCGAAGTCGTTGTGGTCGTCTCCTCCATCTCCATCTCCATTTCCATCTACCTGCAGCCGAAACTCATCAAGCGGCCCTTGTCGATTGTACGTGCATGGGAAAAGTACACACACAGAAGAGACCAGAGCGGACGGAGCTTGTGATTCCTGTTGGAATTTATTTGGGAAATACGCGCACATAAAAAGGCTGCCAGTCCCGGTTCGCCCCCCTCTCTTCACCTGGTTCTCCTGTTCCCAGTTGCCAGTTACCAGTCACCTCTCTCACCCTCGCCATCACTCGCCTTACCTTCTCACCCTCACCCTCACCCTCACCATGGTGTGTGTGTGAGAGTGCACTCAAATTTCGTACGGTGCTTGGCTGTTCTGCTGCTGCTGCTGCTGCTGCTGCCGCTGCCATTGCCGTTGCCTTTGCCTTTGCTGCTCGTGAGATCAGCCGGCATACGATTTCACTCTTGACTGGCCATCGGCTGCGCAGCGGCAGTGCCTCATATATAAATATGAGCGACGCCAGGCGCAGCAGCATCAGTAAACGACCAACTCTCGCGAGGTGCGCACACGCAACGCTCGCTGCACAAAAACAAAAACAAAACGAAACAAGAAAAAGCTCTCAACACACACGACCAGCAAGAAGCTCTCCGCTCTCTCTCTCTCTCTCGCCATGTATCTAGATACGAAAAACTTGACGGCCTGCAGCACCAACAGCAGCAGCAGCAGCATCCACACATCAGCGCTGACAGCGCCAGCATCAACACCTTTGGGCGTGCCCAAGACGGTGCGACGCATGCGCAAAGTCTGGCAGCCACTGCGCCGCCTGTTGACAGTGGGTGGCAAGGGCAGGCCTGCGCCCCTGACCCTGGCCCACCCCAACAATGTGGATCTCAACAACACACAGCAGCAGCAGCAGCAGCAGCTGCAGCAGATCGAGCTTATTCTCGAGGATGAGAGCAAGTCAACGCCAGAGGAGTCTATCTACAAGTATGGGGCGGAGCTGAGGCAGCTGCCCCCCGTCGAGGATGAGGTGTCACTCACACAGCCCCCCAATACGCCCACACTCATCAGCAGCGTCTATGTGGAGAAGGCCAGCGCACAGAGCTGTGGCGCCTGCCCCCACGGACGCAACTGTCAGCACACAAATCACAACAGCAACAGCAGCACAACAACTGCAACTTCAACTGCAAGTGCAACTGCCACACAGCTGCCCAGCAATCTGTGGGATCTGCAGTTGCCGTTGCAATACATTAGCACCGATAACGGCACCTTCTTCTGGGCCAACACCCAGGAGCGGGTGGACGATGACCTGCTGCACGCCTTGCTCTGCCAGAGCTTCAGCCAACTGCCCGGCACACTCTGCTAGCTGGATCTCACATGCTCATGCTCCAGCCACCCAGCCCTCCCCAGTACACAGATCTCACTACCCCCGACCCCCACCCGCCCCCCACAATTATTGTAATTTCATTTATTTATTCTCCTGCGCAATATATACGTTGTTAATGTGATACTAATTTGCATATAAAATAAAATATACACTGAAGCCTTTGTAGCATACAAACGGAAAAGAATACGAACTAGAATCCGCTGCTGTTTTATCATGTGTGGGGGGGGGCTGATCAGCTGATCAGATAAGCGAAGAAGCGAGAACTGGATCTGGTTGGGCATGAGAACGGAGCCTAACGGAAGAGCGAAGATGAAGGCAAAGGATAACGGATAACGGAAGCGCTGTTATGAGTGCAACCTAATGAGGCTTGACAGATGAACGGACAGCGCTGTGCAGCGCTGCATAACGGACGGGTTGGTAAACTGATAACTTGGAGAAGATGCAAAGCGAAAGAGGGAAGGGTGGGGAGGGGTATAATGAGGATGCGCAGCCTGGTATCATCTTGCAGTGCAGAGGATGTCGCATCGATCGCTTGAATGAGGCAATTTAAGAACAAAAGATGGTCGCTTGGGTTAAGTTTACATAAATTAGGCATCGAATTAAAATACACCTAATTATTTCAAAATGTTGCCCATAAATATTTGATAGTCAGAAGAATTTTCTAATATAATTTAAGTCATGTGATATTCAATATACGACCATCATAGAACAATTAGTTTGGGAGTCTCTACATCCTTATACAGCAAAAAAACTATACAATTGAGTTTAGCCTCTAGATATCAAGTTTGAAATGTGTTGTATATTAGCAAAGCTACAAAAAAACTTTTTTACAATTCAAATAAAAGTTATTAACCACAGAATTAAACCACAGAATTCGCTTCAAAGGCGCCTGAGAACTGATTTCATAGTCCCTGTGTTCAACGTTCAAAGCAGAAATATCCACACATACATACGTATATTTTTCGACCTATCGACGACCCGAGAATGTATCTTAACCGGCATGCTGTGACCAAGCTGCTGACTCCAGAAGGAAAGAACTGAAGCATACTGAAGGCAGAGTCTCTGGAACGAGGCCTGGACGACGCACAGCTGCTTAAATAGGCGCCCAGTGTCTATACATTCTTAAACCTCGTCTAGCCTTTGTTTTATTTACGTCTAACCATGTCTAAGCCAAGTGACCAGATTGTCAACGCGCAGAAGTTCGCCAACTGAACTGTCCATAAATAATTTTCACTTTCGTTGCAGTCCCGCTGTGCGAACCCTAATTAACAAGTCGTTTACATTGTCTCACGGTACGATTTCTTTAAACAAATATATGTATGTATACTTTTCCAAACAAAAAGAATTTTATTTCAAACAATTGAAGCCTGTATTGTTCCGTTCAGATTTAGATGCTTTCCTAGCAGGTCGTGTCGCGCAGGACACGCAGCAGTTCTGTGGGCTGGGCGCTGGCGGCCGCCAGAGCGCAGTTGAAGGTCTCCAAAAGGCAGACGTTGCTCAGCTGGGCACGATATTTGCCATTGGTCACACAGATCGGTTGGTAGATCATCGAGCAGGGCTTGAAGCACTCTTCACGATCCAGCCTGAAGCTGCCCAATTTCTCGTGCAGATTGTCCACCAACTCGGAGCTGCACCAAGCGGCATCGGTTTCAGTATAAGCTAAAGAAGCAATACACCCCCATTATAGATGGAGCCATGGGATTTTGTATTATAGTAACTTACGCGAAATTTTGTTGCGTTCGCGGCGACAGTTGTCAGACTTAAGGTTGCAGGCGCTGGCGAATTCCTTGAAGATCTTTCCATCAGTGGCGCACACCGGGCGATAGACGGCAGCGCAGAATAGTGGACAGTCTGTCTCGTTGGTGGATACCGTGTTGGCCGCAATGCCAGCGACCAGGGCCAGGCAGCAGAGGGTTAAAGTTTGGAACATCATATCGATGATATTGTTATTATTTTATTTGGGTTTGGTTTCTGTATTTCTTTTCAGTGCGGAGGGAAAGCCGTTCACTCTGTAGTAGCTATTGATTGCAATTGCCGTAACTGTCTCGAAATTCATTGATTTATATATATTTTTTATGGCTCGTTGGAGCTACTCACTCACAGATAGTTTATCAGCGCGTTCCACTCTGATAAGACTCGGCGCCTTATCGGTGTGCCCAAACAAAAAAAAACTTGTTTATTTGGTCTACAAAGTTCGACGTGTTGCCGGTGTCGTTGTGTGACTAACCAACGAATACTAGCTGAACTTTGGGTCTACTAATTGTGTTGTCTAGTGTCTGGTAAAAATTGTAGCAGCGTCTTCAAACAGCATCATTGATTGTCGCGCTACTATCTTGTTTATCGCAGCTAACAATTCCATTCAATATCAATTCCATTGATATTTTTTCGGGCAATTATTATTCTGCTTGCTGATGTTGTTTTGGCAACATCTTTTAGCCGTGATAAATTGTTGTTTCCTGACATCTGTGTAAAGACTGCATCGCTGTTTTTGGCCAAATGATTCAGTGTCTGTTGTTGATACTGCGTAGTACACGCAGTACCTTTTCTGTAGTTATAGTAAATAAGATAAAATTAGAAGTTCACACCTCCATGTTCATCTTCCACCAAATGGAATTGAGTCACCTCTTGCCAGAGCTATTCAGTTTTGGTACTGATGCCAAAGGAATCAAAGAAATTCAATTTAAAAATAAAGAAGATTTTTGTCTGCTATGTTGGTGGGAGTCTAGGATTTGGGAGTCGTTAAATAACTTTAATTTGGCCAAAACACACCCCAAAACAATTGCCTTCATTCATCTGCAACCCTCACAACTTTGACAAATGATCGTGTGGCTCTTTGCTCACGCTTCGCTTCGATCTAATTCGGTTACAACATTGTGATCGCCCACATAGTTGTAGTTACACACGGCGCATCGCAACGCTCAATCTCCATGGGGTAATGTTAATTGAGGCCTCTCCACATGCCACACATGAGCACACACACATACATACACAGCTCCCCCCCTTGGCTTAGACGGACCACTGGGGAAAGAGAGAGAGACAGGAGTCGTGGTAAGGCCTAATCACCGTTTAATGGTGTTCACACACTTGTTGCTGACGGCGGCGCCCTCAGCCAAGTAGTGAGTGGCCCAAAAGCCAGCCAGCCCGTGCATAGAGCTGGCCAAAACCCAACAATAACAATGTTGCCGGCCCGACTCGGTCCGGCCAATCAATGACCGCTAAGCGTATGCCCGTCACGCACGCGAAGGCCGCCACCAGCGCGGTTGGCTGTCGTCAAGAATTGAGTACACACGCGTACATTAAACCCTAACTCAGCAGAACCCAAGCAGCCCCGGCACCAAGCCATACACGAAGACATCACGGCGCAGGATCAGGTTGGGTTTGTGTGTTGTGTACTCTGTACAGGTATGCAAATGAGGAATGGCTGAGGTACGTTTCATGTAGATAACTATCAGACTCCAACTCCTCGCGCTATCATCGTTATGACCTCATGAACATTGTCATCAGCATTATCAACGGCATTCCACGGTTCTGTTGGTTCTGTTCGGGTTCGGGTTTGTTCTCTCTCTCTTACTCTCTCTCCCCGCCCAAATTTCAATTCTTTCGTGCAGACAAACGCCGCTTTGCATACGAAATTAATTATGTGCTGTCAAAGGCAATTTAACAGAAACTTATATTGCTACTTAATTTACGTCACGGCGCTACCAGAACTTTGGATACCTGTTACTCAGCAGGGTACACTAGGGTATGTTGTGTTAATGTAGAAGGAGTAACAGTTTAAGAGTGTAAATGTATTCTTATTTAATATTAGCAATCAGGGTGTTCGTGTGACCTTCTTTTTTGATGATACTGCTGCATGTAAGTGTAAGCCGAAGACACTAAGATCTCACAACATTATTTACATAGCTATTAAGGGAAAAAACAAGACTTGAAGGTGTCCAACTAAGAACCAATCAATTAATAAATAAAAATAAATAAATGAAAAATAAAAATAATTCACTAAAAACTTCTTGGAAAATTCAACCAAAAATATAAATTAAATATTATAACAAATATAGCCTCATTAATTAGTTTAGTAGCTGGTTTTAATGACTAATCTTTCGACTGAGAACAGAATCCAAGATAATGGTCAGAAAATCTGTATTTTCGTAGATTTTTAGATTCGAGCTAAAACCTTCTTACATAGTTCTAGAAAAAGTTCACAAAATTTTAGTTATGATTTATGTAGTATTTAAAGGGTATCTACGACGTCTACGCCCAAAGCTAACCTTTCTTTTAGTTGTTGCTGCTGCTGATCTTTTTATTTTTGTTCGTTCTTTCTTTTAGCTACTCCTTCTTTGACTCCTTCTCATGCTGTCGACATCAATTTGCATTTTTAGTGTAGGAGAAATGCGTTTGTGATTGATAGAAAGAGACAGGGTGTGAGAGAGCATAATATTGGAATGAGATGCGGTACAGGTGTGGTAGAGTGCGGCAAGGAGTGGAGTGTGGGGGGGACCTGCGTTGGTTTTTTTTTTGTTCGTTTTGTGATTCTCTAGCAAAGGCGATTATCTTTTGCGGCAACTGTTTTTATGCCCAATTTCAACGTCCGCCTTGAGACGCCTTGGCATGTGATGTGCTGTCTTGAGGTGTTGACGTCTACATGTTGCATTTTAATTGTGGTTTTGGGTTCTCGACTTCTCGATTCTCAGCACTGCATTCTGCGTTCTTTTGCTTCTTGGGGGTTTCCACACTCCACACAAAAACCACTCTGCACGCTGCACTCCCTCGCTGCCACGGGGCACCGCCACCGGCACATAAATAAGTTGTACGACAAGCGACAACAAGCCCGTTGTCCGTTTGCCAGGAGCTGCCGTGAAGTTATGCGCACGATATCCATATTTGGCCGCACACAGGTGGCGATGGTGGCCTTAGCCAAGGTGATAGCCGTAGTGGCTGCCCCGGGCCTGATCGCATAATGTGTGTGTGTGTGTGTGTTGCCTCCAATTGGCAACGAGCCAAGGTATCGCTCGTTCTCTCTCTCTCTAACAGTCGAGTTGCTCGTGTATCACACTTCTTCTAGTCAGTCGCTTGCAGTAGATTGATTTTCTCTTAGTTCGATTTCAAGGTTGTCCATTTAAGGATGCGCCTATCTCAGGAATTGACTTTCATCTATGTGCGAGGTGCGAGGTCTGGTTTATGGCAGGATGTGTGTTGGCGTTGGCGTTGCAGTTAGCGGAATTGTACAGTGACCCAGTTGAAAGAAGAACTTTAATGAGCAGAAAATCAATTACTGCCATAGGAATTATCGTAGAAATTTTTTATTTGATCTGCTTTGACCTACAAATGTAATAGAATTATTTCAAGGGGTTTAATGATGGAAGTTGGAAATGTATTGGCAGGAGATATTAACTGTGTTAGATTCCTGATATTCCATATAAATAGATACATATACAAAATTTAAAATTATACGCTAATTCCAATTAGATGTTTAAATCATTTTTTTAATACAGAACTGAAATGCTCAGATTATTTGAATTATTCTTCTATGTTGGAGCTCCTTTTTGTATATTGCTAGAGCCTTAAGGGTTTCAATTTCTCCTTAGAATATAACTTTAATAAATATAAATAATTATTGAATGAAATTAAATATCAAAGGGTTCCATTACAAAAATCTTCTATCTATCTGCCCTTATCTTTTTTCCTTTTAAGACTTTGTTTACAAACAACAGTCATTCTGCTCCATTGATGTCATCGTGGAATAACTTAATAGTAAGCGTAATTTGAATTGTTTTCTCTGCATTTATCACACCATATCGTATTCGAGCAACGCCAGGAAACCTTAAAAAAAATTGTACATAGCTCTTATCAGACACTCAACTTCGAGAACAATCTTGAGGCAAGACAAGACAACGACGACTCATTCCAATGGAATGCGAATCAAAACATAGAAATCTTTGGCATATTTTTTGTTGCAGCTAAAACCCAATATCCCCCCCCTCCAACCCAATTAGAAGATATAATTCAATTTAAGTTTGATTTTGTTTTTGTTTTGTATTTTGTTTATGATTATTTTTAAAGCTCTTGTTTTCTATCACAATATCTTAAGATCTAATGGAAGCGCTGGATCGCCGAGTTGAGATTGTTTTCCTGCTGAGTTTGATGCGTGGGAGGAGTTAAAGCCACTGCTGCTGCTGCTGCTGCTGCTGCTATCACAATTTTGTAGTCGTTTTAAAGCTGATAATTGATCAGGGATCAGGCATTCTGATGGTGTTGTGTGATGCTTAGGCCTGGGCCCAACGATCCTGGAACTGCATGGAGTAGCAGAGGGCGGGCTCAACGCTGGCCACCGGCTGCAGGTTGGTGGTCCAGAAGAAGGTACCGGCCTGAGTGCGTGCAAAGCGAACGGGCACATAGATGTCTTCCTCTTCCTCCTCATCCTCCACGATCATCTTGATCTCTTGGGATTGGGCCATTTGAGCGAGTTTCTCGTTGGCGGCATTCTCATCGATTTCGGCATAGTACGCCTCCTCGACTTGGGCGTTGCGCAGATTTTCATGCGACTCGAGGGACTCCAGCGAGTGATGGTGGTGGCGGTGCTGCTGCTGCTGCTGTTGCTGCTGCTTCTGCTGTTTCTTGAAGAGCGTCTTCAGGACCTGCTTGATGCTGTAGCTGGTCTTCATCTTGTTGTTGCTGTTGTTGGCAGCGGGTACGACAACGATTTGTTGGCACATTTTTGGAAGAAATTTGTTGTGTTGCTTGAAACGCTGACGATGTCAGAATGATTTCCCAACCGGCAGTGGCACGGCTTTTATAGCCGGCTCGGTGCTCGGCGCTCGAAATGCATTTCCTGTGCCGCTCACAGCGAGATACCAACTCGAAGGGAAACAGACAGAGACAGAGACAGGGACAGGGAGAAACGGACCCCTCCGACAGACACGCGTACGTGGTACGCACCAGAAACAACGACAACAACCATAGCCAGGCCCGAGGAACGGAGAGGGACCCGACCCCGACCCTACCCGGTTCAAGCGTGTCGTACCTCACCCTCATTGAAGCGACGACCACAACAGATAATCGGGAGAAGACACAGAGAGAGAGAGAGAGAGAGAGAGAGAACCTGAAATACGACGCTCGCTAAGAGCAGAGCACAAAGGAGCAGGAGCAGGAGCAGCATTAAGAGCTGGAGAAGGTTCAGGAGCAGGTAGTCGTGGGCAAGCCTGCAGCTCTGTGGAGGAAGTCTTTGCGAGAGAGGGAGAGACACTGCATTAAAGGAAACAAACCCCTACAAAAAACTGCAACTGTCCGAAGAAGACGACTCCGAGCTCCGAGTGTGGGAAACAATTTTTCGTTGGCCTCAAAAATTTTAGGAAATGTATTCAAGTGCCTCAAGAAATCCCAAAAAGTAAGCAGAGCAATACACACATACACACACATGGACAAAGGGCAGGTGTTCCTTGGTAAAATTTCTCACGACCGAAGGAAGCCCAGGATCAACAAGGGGATCGAACGCATGGAAAAAGGAGTTGCAAATTGTATTCCTAATGGGCAATCAACATAAAGGCTGAGCAGGGGACCCCGACTCCGACTGCTCCTCTGTTCGTGTTTGAGTTTGAGTTCGAGAACGGAACCCCAAGACCATTCCCACGCATTCCCACACATTTGTTTCGTCCTGGTTCTGGTTACCGGAATGCAAAGAAAGGACAAGGACAAAATTGGGGTTGAAGTCTATTCTATTTGTATAGGCATCTCGAATCACTTGTTTTCGTGTTTTGATTTCCAACTTTCCCACAGGGCTCGCTCTATGAATCCATCCATCCATCCTGCCATCCATCCACCACCAGCCATCAGCCATCAGAAGCAATAAAATACGGACTTGCCACTTGTCTTCGATTTCACTTCGAATGCTCGTTTGCTCCCTTGGGGTGCGAGAGGGAATGGGCACAATATCCTATAGATATTTTAATTAATTTCTTTTCTTGCGGTCCGAGTGTGCTGAAAGTGTGGAACGTTGATAGGGAGGGTTTTTAGGGGATTAACGATAAGGCGACGCAGGGAAAAAAGTGTGTGCGGAGCGAGCTGTGTGGGTGGGGGGGGAGGTCTTTGAGCTGTGAGAAGAGACCATGGAACATACTTTGAGATACATTTTAATGACTCGGCAATGGGGTAGGCTAGGCTAGGGTAGGGGAGTTGTCTCTTCTGCTTTATAGCAGGGATCTTCTTCATAGAGGGAGACGACTCTCTCTTTTTTTTGTTTTATAGTCTTTTACTTATCTGTGCTGGCTAATGGATGGAACAGATTGGAACCCCCCGTCAAGAGGAGCTGGCAATGTTTATGTGAAATCAGAATCTAAAGTGCGCAAGGCAAAGGGAGGATGGCTTTGCTCTTTCTTATCAGAAGGGCTGCAGGGGGGAGGACCTCCTGTCAAGGGGGCATTGACAGTTTACACTTCGAGGGGGGATGATGATGATGCATCTCCTCCGTTCTGCTGAGATGCTGATGCTGGTGGTAATATGATATATGCACTCGAAAATCTTCAGAAAAACAAAAACAACAAAAAATAAAAGCCTCAGTCAAGCCCCAGCGCAGTGCCAGTGCCAGTGCGAGTTCCAGTTCCAGTCTCCATCTCCGCTTCAGTCTGTGGCAAGATAATGGGCAACGTGCCAAGTGCCTCGACCGTGTATACACAACAAACAGTGCATAAAAGCAGGCGGAGGAGGAGGCTCCTCTCCTCAGCCATTCACAAGCCGGAGGGCCCATGGGAGTGGGCTGGGAGGGGACCTGGAACTGCAGTAGGAGGTGTGCCGGGTCTTTTATGTGATCTCCGAACAGAGAGTGGAGTATGTGTCGGCATCCCAGCAGCAGCAGCAGCAGCAGCCACAGCCACACAGCCTCGCTTTGGCGGATGGCAAACTGGTTTCTCGGTTTTTGGATCTTTACATACACCACGAGAGATGCCAATGCCAACATGGATACACACTCATACCACTCATACTGGCATACACTCTCCACATACTTAACGCTCGGGTATGACGAACAAATGTGTAAAGCATTAAAAAAGAGATCTACAAAAAAAAAAAAAATACAAAAAAAGAAAACAAGAAAAAAAGAGTTGAAAAAAAAAAACAAAAGCGTCGACCGCATCCTAAACAGCGACCAGCAGCAGCAGCAGCAGCAGCAGCAGCGGCGGCGGCGGCAACGAGCCAGAGTCAGAGACGGAGACCCGAGCCCCAGTCCACAGTCCGCAGTCCCAGCCCAAGCCCAAGCCCCAACCAATCTTTTCAAGTTGATCCCCATCAAGATATTATTTGACAGCAATGAAACGACTGGCACGAGTTTGTTTCCCACGGTCCGGAGCTGTCTCTGTGTGTATCTGTGTGCGCCTCATGCTGATGTGCTGTTGTGCTGGTGTGTGGGTTTGCGGGGGGGATCACTGGCTCACTGGCTCACTGGCTCTGGCTGTTTGCTGGGACTTGGGGCTGGTTGCTTTTCGCGGCGCAATAAAGTTGAAAGCGCACTGTTGGATATAAATTAATTCAACAACACGCTACAGTTGTGTGTGTGTGTGGTTGTTGCTGTTTCTCTGGGTCTCTGAGCTTTGCACGCTCTCGTGCTGCTGCTGCTGCTGCTGCTCCACCAGCGATCCCTCTGCCCACTGCCTCTCCTCTGGCCACATCTGTGTGGCGGCGATCGGGGAACCCAAATGTTGGTCGCTGCCGTCTCAGCGGGGGCACTGAAATTCGCGCGTGCGTATGCCATCGATAAAAAAAATTGTTTAACAGAAAAAAAAAAAAAAAAAAGAATACATAAAATAAGAAATAATAAAGCGAGAGAAATGAGGTCTTTGCTGGGTAGTAGTGTGGTGCTCTCCCTGTGTCTGTGTGTGTGTGTGTGTGTGTGTGTGGATGATTGGGTGTATAAATTCCAGTTGGTCTTGAACGACTTCAGGATATGCGCTACACATTCGCTTTGCACAATCTTGCGAAATCTGACGATGATGATGACGATGAGGCGGTGCAGCATGAGTCATGGGTCTGCTTGAGGAACCTGTCCCACAGTTTCTCAGTACAAATTAAGGGTATGTCTCTGTCCAATTAGGGTACGTGTATGATACAGCAAATTAAAATCTATTATAACCGATAAATTAGTGCATTAGGGGCACGTGCTGGTACGACAACTTCCTTAATTGTGCCAATTGGTATTAATGGATGGCAAGATATGTACATATTGCAGTGATTCGAAACAATGTAGAATGTAGAACTTAATTAAGTGTTCCATAGTTTACAATTTTGTTACTGATTGCTGATCTCTGACAATGTGCAAATTATTGGAACAACAATTAACGTATCCATTACAATGCCCATTTATCACAACCCTCAAACCCTTCCTGCTGTACAAAACACTTTCCAACACTGTAACGCAGATAATATCCAATTAGCCATTTCCGGAGCATTCAGCTTTTTGACATCGGCCGTTTAACGGTCCCGCAGCGGCTGACAAAACGATTCGGTTAGATAAGTTGGCTAACTGATTGTGCTGGCCTGGCCTGGCCCCGCTTACAGGGGCATACTATTGCTGTTAACTGTAGCTCATTGTTAATGCGTCGAGAGGCAATCTTAATTTGTCTCATTTGTTTTTTTTTTCTGTCTCTGTGTGTGTGGTTTTTATTTTATTTGCTTTAGTCTGGCAGTTGTTGTTGCTGCTTTTCGTTATTTGTTTTGTCGATGAGTCGAGCTCGTGTCATTTTGAATGGGGCACACGGCAACGTACGTACATACATATCTCCGTCATTGTTGGGTCACTTCTAATTAAGTATTTTGAAATGTGAGATGAGCTTTTTGCTCTTCAGAGATGTGTCAGAGATGCTGTGAGATAGCGCTGGCTAGTGACTGAGGATGAGTGTCTCCGGCGTATGTGTATTGGCACTGCTGATGAATCATACGAGTAGTCGTGGTAGTATGTAGTACCTGTTTTGAAGCCCAGCGCTATAAATAGTTAACCCATGTGCTACATATATATCGCACACATCATATAGCGCATTCGTGACGTGCCAAATGCCTGAAACACCCCACGAGCCATAACATTTATAGCGTGTGCTAACAACAAAAACAAAAAGCACAGGCTACATACGAGTACAAAAACAACCATGCCATGCCATGCCATACCAACGATCGATCGATTGTAACTGACTTTCGCGCACACGTCGATCGCAGTCAGCAGGGCCCAGCAGCAGAGAGTCGATCGGGGTCCCAGAGTCAAGATGGTAATTGTCTACAAATAGAAGCGAGCGACGACCCAAGAGCTCAGCTCAGAGCAGAGGCCCAAGACTGAAGCCAAAGCCATAGCCATAGCCATAGCCAAAGCCAAACCGACAATCAAGAATAATCATGTAAACGAAAAGCGTAATGCTCGTCCCACGAAACCCACGACTACCACGATCCAATCAATGATCCATAAAGCGTTAAAAAAAATAACACACAACCACCGACCAGAGACCAGAGACCAGAGAGAGACCAGAGACCACAACCAACAAATATGCGCCTCTGCCCCGATGACGATTCCACAATTATCAGCGTGCCATAAGCTACTGCAAAAGGGTGAAGTGAAGGCACATGGCAAGAGAGAGAGAGACCAAGACCAAAACCAAGGCACAGACCCAAAGACCAGAGACCAGAGACCGGGCCGGACCGGACCGACCGACCATACAAATGAATTGAAATGCAAACATCTTGTTATGGATGGAAGGCATGTGCTCGCTTGGCTGCCGAGTCGCGTCGCGTCGCATCGCATCGTATTGGATCGACTTGGAAGCGGGCTCTGCGCGAGTCAGCTCTTAAGGCGGGACGTCAGTAAGGACGGACAAACAGACAGACCGGACGGACACACGGACAGACGGACAGAGGGATCGTACAAGACCCCAAGCATGCACAATCAGAAGAAGTCAGGCCAGCCGTCGTCATCGCCGTCGTGGAAATCGGCTGCGAAACAGTTTCCCACGGTATAACAATCACACACACACACACACATACACACACGTACCACTTACAAAGATAAAGAGACTGGGGGTAGAGAGCCAGAGAGGGAGGGAGACGAGAACGGGAATGGGAATGGGACAGTGAAGGCAAGAGCGAGAGGAGGGCGCAGCCGCAGCTCAAGTCATTTTATTGCCCTCACACACACACAGGAAAAAGCAACAAAAGCAAAAAAAAACAACAAAAAAAACAGAAGCCACCACCAGCAGCACCGCACACCGCTGGCACCACTGGCAACAGCAGCAGCAGGCCGCGCACGAGGCAAAACGAGTATCTCGCTCGCACTCACAGCTCGGTACGAGCACAGCCGAGCCTATATAAAGCCGAGCCCTCGCTGCCAGCTGAATCATTCAAAGCTTCGAATCCGTTGAGTGCGCACACAGATCGCCCCAAGCCAAACCGAGTCGAACGCTATTTTCTGTGGATTACGCGAGTTTTCATTCATTCATTCATTCAAAGCCATTCGAAAGCAAAGACAGTGTTCCACCATGGTGCTGGAGATGGAAATGTCGAAGACGTATCAGTACCGCAAGGTGATGAAGCCCATGCTGGAGCGGAAGCGTCGGGCGCGCATCAACAAGTGCCTGGACGAGCTGAAAGACATTATGGTGGAGTGCCTCACCCAGGAGGGGGAGCACATTACGCGCCTGGAGAAGGCCGACATCCTGGAGCTGACCGTCGAGCACATGAAGAAGCTGCGGGCCCAGAAACAGTTGCGCCTGAGCAGCAGCAGCAGCAGCAGCGGCAGTGTGTCGCCCAGTGGCAACGCCGCCGACTCCAAGCTGAGCATCGCAGAGAGCTTCCGTGCCGGCTACGTGCATGCCGCCAACGAGGTGTCCAAGACTTTGGCTGCCGTTCCCGGCGTCACCGTCGATCTTGGCACCCAGCTGATGAGTCATCTGGGCCACCGCCTCAACTATCTGCAAGTGGTGGTGCCCACGCTGCCCATTGGCATGGGTGTGCCGCTCAAGACCCCAGTCTCGGGTGTGGATGATGCTGCTCTGGTCACGCCGCCTCCGTCGGAATGTGGCAGCCTGGAGAGCGGCACCTGCAGCCCGGCACCCAGTGAGGCCAGCTCCACCTCCGGTCCCATGTGGCGTCCCTGGTGAGCGCTGCAGAGCTGCATTCTGGATACGCCTTCAAGTGGAAGGCCGTCACAACTCAACCCAACTGAGCGCCAGCTGACCCGGAGAGGTTATTGGTAGTACTGCGCTGGAATGGAACCGCGCAGCCAATCAATATGTGCCCTTCCCCGCCGCTGCTCAGACGCCGCCGCTCGCCAGGAGAGCCCCGCATTCGGGCTATGGATGGGCTATGGCGTCGCCCAAATTATTAACTGAATTTTATTGAAATTGAAATCGAAATAAATATGGAAAATTGCACCCAAAACTATTGTATTCTTCCTTTTACTGCAACGAGAGTGAGATTCAGTTTCACAATCTTTCCTGTCCCCAGCCTTTCCGGAGGCGTTCGACCGCAAGCCGAAAAAAATAAAAATTAAACCAGAAACCAAATACTTTTCGAGATAAACTCGATGGCTGGCCGGGCCGAATCTCACAGAGACCAGAGACCGCAGCCGGAAGTCGCTAAATATTTTCCCACACTCGGGGCCCAGCCATCAGACTCGTCGTCTGCGTTTTGCCTTTGCCTTTGCGTCTCTGGCTCTGTCTCTGTCTCTGGGTCTCCAGCTCGTTGGGTTGGCCTCATTATGGCCCGATCCGCTTCACTCAGCTGCGGGTTCGAAGCGGGGGGCAGCCGGCGATTTGCGCCGGCGCTGTCTCTGTCGCAATTAAATAATAAAAATAAAGCAAAAAGTCAGTTCTAGGAAACGTCATTTATTATGAGGCTCAGGCTCTCGTATTCGAGTGTGAGAACCGCGGCTCGCCTGTCAATGCCTCCGCACGCTGTGACTGTGGCCTGCCATTGTGGCTTTGACAGCTTTAACTGCGCTTGACCGCTTGGCACATGCGCCGGGGCCGGTCGAACTCGCGGACACACAGACGGACGATGGGACAACAGTCAGTCCAGTCCGGTCAGACATTGCAAATTAAGCTCGCGACCGCGACCGTCTCGGCACTTAAAACTTCACTGTGTGTGTGTGTGTGTGTGTGGGGGTCTACTGTCTACTCGTGTGTGTGTGTGTGTGTGTGCTTGAGTGAGGTTCGATTACGGAACTTCAGTTTCAACGCTTTTGTCTGGTGGACAACTATGATGATGATGACTACTTACCCGACCCGACCCCGGCTCAAGTCAAGTCTGGGACCGTTCAAGCCGTCGCTGATTGCTGTTAATCTTCAGAAAATGTGATTAGTCACGTAACTTTTGGCATGAAAACCAAGTCATCGAGACCATAGATTGGGTTATTTTTTCTGTTTTTTTGGCAGCTCTTCTTCTTTTTTATTTTTTTTGTTGGGCACAAAACGGCTATTATTGGGCTTCAACCGGTAGTTTGCCGAAATGTGTGATCTACTTTGATAGCTTTGAGATGGAGCAGAAGCAGAGGCAGTTGCTGGCATTTATAAACCTTGGCAACGACCATTAGGGTTGTTTAAAGGCGTTTCTTATTGATCATTAGCTGGATGTTGGCATGTTTACGATAGATATGATAATCTCCTTGGGTGATGGGTGATTTATCACAGCCAACGCTGACACGGATCTGACCCTATAGGTATTATCTGTGGGTCTTCTGTTTGGGAAAATAAAAAATCCTTGAATAGGATCTACCTAACATCGTACGTAAAACTAATATGAACATAATTTATTTAATATAATTATTTATTTTTTTTATATAATTTGTCAAAATAAATTCTAAATTAAATCAAACCTAAGAGCAATTTATTTTCATAAATAAATAAATTAAGCAAAAGTCAAAGATTTTGCTTCCGCGCCCCAAACCACGCCAAAAATCTGTACAGTACGGCCGCACACATCATACATCACGTGACCTCTGTGTGGCAGTGGCAGTAGTCCGCCCCGCACCACCACTCCCGCCCAATTCACTGCGGGTCCGGCCACCTACTTCAGTCATAATACACACGCCGCAAAAGTTAATGCAGCCATATTAAAGTAAGCGCAAGACCACCACTTAATGCAGGAGAGGAGCGGCGGAAACCGGCCCGGCCTGGCCTGGCCTGGGAATGGATGGTCTGAGGATGCTGCTTTGGCATCAGCCATACACTCGTGCCTCAGCAACACAGCCAGCCTCCTCCCTCCATAACCAACTCAACAGCATCCAACACACACACAGTCAGAGACAGAGAGAGATGGAAAGAGAGAGAGTGAGAGAGAGAGAGAGGGACTCTGACTATCAAAAGCTGTGGGCAGCTTGTCCAGTGGCAGCCAGAGCGTGTGCCAATGTAGTGTAACAACATCCCATATTAAAGATATTACAGAGTCAATAGCACACCATATAAGTGTGGTTGGGTGCCTCTCCAACTGCCATTCCCATACCCATTCCCATTCCCATTCCCACTCCCAATTCCTACTCTCAAGCAACTCCCGAGTCCATCTCTATAACCATCTACGTTCCCATCTCACTCGCTCTCGCTTTTTGGTCATAAACCAACTAAATTGAGTTCGTTCAACAAAACAGCGACGCATGCGCGGCGCAACGCGGGCCGGCCACCTCCTAACCCAACCGATCCGATCCGAACCGAACCGATCCGTGCCCCGAACTAACCCCTTTTGTCCACATCACACGGCGCGCTCTTAACGATCGTGTGTCCACAGTCATTACAATGTTGGCCAATGCACAACCAACCAGCCGACTGAGACTGAGGACTGAGGACTGCACACTTACCGCACGCTGCTTTTCTCTTTCATGTCGATCGCTGGCTAGGCTCGGGCCAGCCAGCCAGCCAGCCAGCCTCGTCTCCGTCTCCGGCTGAGGCGCAGTCGTAAGGCGCAGGCGCAGGCGCAGCCGCAGTTTGGTCTCCAGCCACTCTTCTACTTGGTCGTTCGGTCGTGATCTTGCCCGTAAGTGGTCTTGTATCTTGAATTCGTAAAAATACTCGTACACACACACACACAGCGGATCTGTCTCTCCCTCTCTGTCTTTTGGCTTGCAGCAGACACACACACACACACACACATAAAAAAGGGCAGGTGTGTCGATCGTGTGAGAACCACGTTCCAAACCATTTTCTCACGATCTTCGCTTCTGATATATTTTTTTTGTTTTCCTTTTTTTTTTTTGTACTTGGCTCCGGTTCCCTGCTCCCCCTGCTCCTGTCCCTGACTGTGACTGGGCCCTTCAATCCATTTGCGTGTGTGCGAGAGTAGACCGAGAGACCCTTCTCCACCTCCGACACTGTCTTGGTTGTCGTCCTATGCCTCTGCCTCTGCCTGTGCCTGTGCCTCAGCCTGGAGTGATTCGTATGCAGTTTGTGTATTGTAGTTTTTAATGACTTGGGCTTGCGTTCGAGAGCTCGATCGAGCTGGATCGGGGTTCGGTTACGTTACGTCGCCGCCATTCGTTCATCATTCATCGGGTTTACCTATAAGATTAAGTATCTTTTGTGTGCTGTGTTGTGTTGCCTGCCTCTGCCTCTGCTGCTGCTGCTGCTGCTTGCATTTCCTTTTGGCATTTCATTTTGGGTGCGATTCCTCTATATATATCCATATATCCATATAGCCATATTTTTATTTTTTCCTTATTGTCCATTGTCGTATGTGGGTCTCGTGCATGCATTGGTTGGTGTTGTTCCTCTAATTGTCTTGCCAACTGTGTGATCGGCACTGATCGGATCATCGAGGGTTGGACAGGGTTTAAAAAATGAGTTAAGATTTTGTATCGGCAAGGATCTGAGATCTGAAGGGGGGAAGTAAAAGTCGCTTGGCACTGTTACCGAGATGATCTAAATAGAGTTTCACTTAATTAACAAATCGTTCTACAGAACTCTGATTTAAGTTCTTTTTGAATGAAAGGATTAAGGTGCTTTCATTTAATTTATAACATCCTCTGCATCTTGAACAAATTTACACATAATTATCGTTAAATAAATCTCTCTAAGTATTTAAGTTTCTTGTTAATTTATTACATCCTTTAGATCCCAAGAATCGACACAAGATTTAATCAGATTCACAGATTTTGAATTAAGTTGAATTTAATTTAGGCCAACCCTGTACCTGCGGCATCCCTGATATTTATCTGCTTGACTATTCTCTCGTTATGGCCTCGCCTGCCAAGCAATCGATGGTTAAGACAGAGGCGTCTGGGGACCGGCTACTGGTCTTGTCTTGGCACCACACAGATAACCAAATGATGCTGGGTCAGGCCGAAACCAAAAATAAAAAAAAATAAAAGAAACAGCAAAAAAAAAAACCCAAAGCAACACTAAAAAGTGATATCCTGTCCCGGGCTCCATCTTAAAGTTGCCCTAGGGCAAGACACTCATTTACCTGATCTGATCCCAAGCAATTATGTAGCCATAGCCGTAGCTCTCTCGCCTTGACCATTGTGCGGGGCGATTTTCTAGTCGAATGGCCACAGCGCAGCATAAAGGAGAAACAAAATCAGGCTGGATATGGGATGAATGATGACTCGGTCCCTTTTTTTTCGGTTCTTTGCTCCCCTTCCCCCTCCCATTTCCCGTTCTCCTTTGATATTTCGTTTCGGGCTCTTCTGCTGCTGGGCCTAAGTCTGAGCGACATTGTCGTAACTCGATTAGACACGCTGAGATAAGTCTCTAATTTTTTGTGTTACCTTCGCTTATTGTAGGCACACGTGTTCAAGGGGCAACTGTGGCTGCTGGCTGGCTGGTTGCTGGCTGCTGTCAGTAGTCTCGACTCGACTTTGTTCTTTCTCCTCTCGGCTTGGCCTCTTCTTCTGCTTAATTTTTCTTGTTTTGGCCTTGGCATTGTTTTCGCTTTCTTTTGTCTCCGATCTTCTTCGTGTGTATGTGTGTGTGTCCAGCCAGCCAGCCAGCCAGCCATCTATGGGGAGAGCATTCACAGCGCTTTGGTGTGGAAAACTAGAAATTCTTCATGGAATTCGACAGTGGCTATTTCCGCTACAAACCGCAGCCAGAGAGCAAATTATCGAGAATTGGCTATTGTCGATGGGTGTGCCTAACCAATTGGATAGTCTCCCGATCGGTCGCTCGCGCACATTTGCATGTTCCAAATGGAATTTGCTGGCGATGAATCATTCTGAAATGGCGTGTAAATATTGGCAGTAAAACGAGTCGTGATCTTTCAATTTTAGCTATATAATTTATTAGTTGTTTATAGTTTATTTATCACGTGAACTGTGCGTCCCATCTAAAGCTTTGTGGTGCGTTCTTAAACCTAAGTGGTGGAGAGCCAATGGGAGGGGGTTTCCTTTGCCCCATTGACTCGGAAGACTTTTACTTTCTAAATCGTTCTTTTGTTTCTCTCTCTCTCTCTTTCAGTGTGCTCCTGTGCTGGCTGTTCCCTACCAGGGACGCCAGACATTCTCCTCATCCTCGCTGTCAACCTCCAATTCCATTTTGGTGACATCAATGGAGGAGCAAGTGGTGAGTAGGGAGGCACTGCCCAGACGCTCGCTGCTGGCCACACTGGAGTTGGGGCTGCCAGCAAAGCTGGAGACGGGAGAAATGGGCACGGAGTAGGCATCCCGGCTGGCGATATGCACGGAGAGTGGAGCGGTGATGGGCAGAGCCTCCTTGACGGCGGGCTGCAGCTGATTGAGGCGCTGTCCCAGATGTGTCATCAGTTGGGTGCCCAGGCTGACATTCATGCCGGGCAGATGAGACAGGGAGCGGGAGACCTCGTTGACGGCATGAATGTAGCCGGAGCGGAAGCCCTCGGCCGGACTGAGGCTCTCGTCGCCGCTGGCGCGCTTGTGCTGGCGTTTCTGCTTCATCTTCTGGAGGTGGGTGACTGTTAGCTCGAGAATGTCGGCCTTTTCCAGCCGGGTGACATGTTCGCCCTCCGACTCCAGCGTGGCTACCATTAGATCCTTCAGCTCGTCCAGGCACTTGTTGATGCGCGCCCGACGCTTCCTCTCCAGCATGGGCTTCATCACCTTGCGGTACTGATACGTCTTCGACATTTCCGATATTTGTGACGACGACATTTTTGGTTGTGTTTTTTTTTTGTTCTGTTCTGTGTTTCTTTTGAGCTGTGGCTGCTCCGACGGCTAAAGACGTTGTGTGCTGTCTGCCGGGCCGGGCCCTGGCATTTATAGCTGGCCAGAAACAACCCCCAAGATCCAGGGATCTCTCGTGTGGCTGGCCAGGGCCCCGTGTGCTGGCATTTTCTGTGTCGGCCAGAGCGGGACGGAGCGAAGCGTGTGCTGGCATGAGGGTTGGTCGCCCTTCCGCTTCTTGAGGCTGCTTCTTATTGTTTGTCCGTTTTCTTATTGTTGGCTTGTCCCCGTCGCCGAGTCGGGGTCTGCGCTGGGCACCCTTATCAACGGTTAAGGGAGCAGGATCGCTGCAAGGATCGTTTCGCATTGTGTGTGTGTGTGCGCCTTGGAACCGTGGGAAACACTTTCCTGCTCAGTTTCTCACACCAAAATATGCTCGCTCGATTCGCTCACCTGCCCCGAAAGAGCAACGGAGCATGAGCATGCTCGTAGTCATGGGCTTGGCCCTAACTCTGCATGGATATGGGCCCTATGGTTTTCATATTCGGACTCCGACTCGAGTCGAGTCGAGCATGGGAATTTGCGGGCAGGAACAGCTGCCGCTGCCGCTGCCGTTTCTAGATTTGTGTGTTATGATTTGACTACCATGCCATACCCCCATACACAAATGTCGAGGTGAGCAGAAGGATAATGAACTGCTGCTTGCTTTATGCCATCTCATTTAGGTCTCGAGGTTCCCACGGCTCCGACAGCAGGGATATAGGGACACAGCACAGCACAAGGATGGGGGGTAGGGGGATGGGGCGTTGCGATTCGTCGACAACTTCCTGTTTACTGTTGGCATTCCACCTTGGATCGTATTCGTGCCCGGCCGAGGTAGGCAACCTGCACTTGTTGGTCGGCCTGCTATGATCCCCGATCCTGTGGGAACATTGCTCGTGTGCGTCGAGTGTGCTTAATGTGTGTGTCGTTCATTCTGCTCCTGCCCTGATCCCTGATCTCTGCTCTGGCTCTGCTTAGTCTCTGCCTTGTTCTGTAATAAGGGGCCAAGCGATGCTGCTCCTGGAGCGCTGCTCACGTGTGGCTCGCGGTGGACACACTTTCGGCTGTAAGTTGTACGCGTTCCAGGACTTTTGTAATCGATTGACGTGCCCCGTGTAACCCCGCAGTGGGGATTGTAATTGGGTTGAATTACTGGCAGCTATACATGGAGAGCGAATGATTTGAAAGGAAACCCCCTTTATAAGAGAGTTGGATGGGAAATCAATTAATGATGGGTGGATTCTTTGGATTCTCTTGGGTGATATTAATTGCTGAAAGGATTAAAATAATTATCATGGAACGAAAAGCAAATATTGTGATTTTTTAAACCAAGCTGAAAATATTATTTAAGTTAAATTATTTAATTATTAAATATAATTTATTATTTAATAAGGTTTAGAGTACCAGCTACAAATACCTATGAATAATTGGATATTCTATCTCAGTTCCAGATTTTTCTATTCGTCACCATATCGGAAAGCCGAAAATAGCCCCTAGAAACATCATCAAATATAAAGCTGAATTATGACCCCATGGTATCAATTCCATTTGTCTATTACGGAAGATTCTTGCTTCTTTTGAAGCGTACCTTTTTTGTTTATTGTGTACTATATATAATAATATATAATAATATATAATATAATATAATAATATATAATATAATAATATATAATATAATAATATATAATATAATTTATATTATAAATGCAAAATTGGAAACTTTCACTCTAATTATACCATTGAGATTTTGAGACTTTTTCAAACGATGCAACCCTTGCCTCAAAGAACATATGATATATTTTTCCAATCGGATGAGTTATCCTCTATTAAGTGTGCTCCAGGCATTGCAACAAGAGTAATTAAATAGTAAATAAATTGGCATTCTTTATGGTTAATGGTATTCTATTCCCCACAGCGGGGGTTAAAACTCTCGTTCCAGCGTCAGTTACCTATTGGAAACCTATAAATATTTTATGTTTCTCCATCAAATCAATGAAACCGGTAATGTTATTTTTTTTTTTATTTAAAATATTTATTAATGTTTTGATTATTAATTGTAAATGTTGTAAAGCATATGGAACCTGTTAAGTATACAAAAAATGTATGTATTTCCTTAATAAAACTAAGTGGAAGATCAATGGGGATACTCTTGCTTATGGTAAATACAATAAATTATATATAATTATAAATGTGCTTTCTATACATCTATGGGAGATCAAATAAAAAATACGAACTTAAGAACTATCACAGGAACATCACATCATATCAAATAATAGCTACTATTGGTTGTAAATACAATTCTGAGGCAAATGTTTACACTACACCTTGGAAAACTTGGATCGTTTCTGAATATCTTTATGGCCTACGAACTAAATCCAGAGTAGTAAAGCTGCTGAGTTGATGGGTTAATGGGTTTCGTGAGGTTCACCAGGGCCGCCACACATCCTCGCCATTGGGGTTGTCATTGTCCTCCTCCTGAGGGGTGATGGGGCGCTCATCGTGCTGATGCGCCTCCGATTTGCGATCGGAGAGATTGACGGGCTCCTCGCTTAGTTCTGATGTGTCCCGTTCCTCCTTCATGTCCTTTAGCTGGTGGCCCAGCTGCTTCATCAGGTGTGTGCCGAACTTGAGATCCAAGCCCGGAACGGTGGAGAATATGTGCGAGACCTCGTAGGCGGCCTGGGTATAGCCCGCACGGAATTTGTCTAAATTCACTTGGGAGGTGGAGGATGCGGAAGATGGCGACGCTGGACTGGCGAGGCGCTGCTGCTGCTGTGTCTTCAGATAGTTGACCGTCAGCTCCAGTATATCGGCCTTCTCCAGCTTGCTGACCTGATCGCCCTGCGCGTCCATCGTATCCACAATGAGGTCTTTCAGCTCGTCCAAGTACAGGTTCATGCGGGCCCGCCTCTTGCGCTCCAGCAGTGGCTTGGTCACCTTGCGGTAGTGCTGCGTCTTGGTCATAAATCTCTGACCCTGCACTGCCATTGTGATTTGGCTTGTGTTGTGTCTTTAGTTTGTTTGTAGTTAAAGCTGGCAATGCAAATGATCCACGTTGAACGGCGGCACTTGCTGATGTTGTTGATGCTTCTGCTCTTCTGCTGCTACTGCTGCTCTGCACTGCACGGTAGTCACTTGAGAAATGATCTTGCCGCAAGGTAAGCTGATCCTTTTTGTAGCTGCAACATCGTCGTCTGTGCCATACACTTGCAAAATCCTCCCCTAACTGCTACCACGCACAATCGACGATCACAACGAAGCATCAATCGGGTCAGAGACGGAGACGGCACTGGCATCGGCATGGGCATCGGCGTCGGCGTCAGCGTCGTCTGTGTGGCACTGGGCTCTCTGCTTGTGGCAAGATTCATTCGCTGCTGCACGTGTGCAACATTAAACAAAACAACAAAAAAATGGTATCGAGCGGAAGCCGTTTTGTCTCTCTGTACAGTGAGAGAAATTAAGTGATCGTGGAGTGCATATATCCTACTATATAAATATATCTATATCTATATGTATATGGAGTATTTTATAGAATATATATAATTTAAATATTTTATAACTGATAGCTCATACATTTTATTTAAAAAGAATTCTAATCATCTGCATTTAAATTAATTGGACAGCTTTTAATTTAAAGTATTGCTTAAAAAGCAATAATCCTCTTTTTTAATGACTAAATTTCTATACAAAATAAATTTTTGAATATTTTCTAATATAACAATTTTTGAATCTTTGATTTTTTTTAAATTAAAATAAATATTTACAATATAATTTATCCAACTCCTGCAAAATTTCTTCGAGTGTATTGACTAGGGCCCAATAACACGTTCTTTGGTGCTCACTCTCTTTCGGTGCCTGCTCTCCCTCGTGCTTATGCCGTGCGCCGGCGCAACAGTACCGGGAGGAGAAAGAGCCAAAAGAAAGACGACGCGACGACGACTCCAACTGAGGCCCAGAGCCATCAACAACCACCACCACCACCACCAGCAACAGCAGCAGCGCGCACCACACGCACACACGACATTTATCCCAACTGGAAAGCGACGGCGACATGACCTCGACCTGCCTGCCTGCCATGTCGCCTATCCCTGCTCCTCGCACGCTTGCAAGCCGAACCGAACCGATCCGAACCCCCGACCCGAAGCGAGCCGAGCCGTGCCCCATGCGTGCCATCCTCACTTAAGCCATAGAGCCAATCTCATCGAGACGTTGCCATTGTATTGCACATGCGTGTGTGCGTCGCATTGTGTGACTGTGTGTGTGTGTGTGTGTGCTCTTCCCTTTTGGCGCACAGTCGCCGAGGCAGAAGCAGCGGCAGAGGCAGAGACACAGACCTCATTTCCTCTTTGGCGCGACATTGCGTTACACTTACGGACACGGAGCAACCACCGCATCAACCACCACCACCACCCATGCCAGCAGCCGGTGTTCTTCCCTGCTCGGTTGTGTGTTATGCTATGTTGGGTTGTTGGTTGGTGCATCGTGAGAAAGTTTACTTGAGGCATTCCCACAAGTATTGGGATTGTGCCGCGCTCCTGCTCGGGTCGAGTCGAGTCTTCTCGGTCAGCTGTGACACTTGTTTGGCGCATTTTGCGAGATTGGGTTCTGGGTTCTCGTATTGACGAAATTCACCTGCTCGGCCGAATGCCAAGGGGTAGTTGAGCCAAGACCGAGGGTCGTCGTGGCCGTTGCAATCGCATCCATGAAATCGAGAAGTTAACATGCTCGTACACAGAACGGGAACATCCAGGGACTGCAACAAAGTTGACATTTGATGGCACTGATTTCATGCATTTCATTTACAGAGTTCTTCGTGGGGGAGGTTTCTGAGATCATCAGCCGACAATTGTTTTGATATGGGTCTCTGTGGAAGCAGACGGTGGTATGAGTGAGGCAAGACAACCCAACCATATGCAAAAACAAAGATTTCAATTGCATTGCGGAAATTTACATCGAAAGAAGACGATTGAAAAAGGGGGATAAGCTTCTGAGGGTGAGTGATTCATCATTGTAACAATGCGGGATTTGCTCGGCATTGATTGTAAAGAATTTCTATTGCAGGAGCCTTATCTTGAAAGTGAATCAAAGCGGCGGAGCAATTTGAATTCAAGGTAGAATTAGAAACATTAGAAATATTTTAATTTTTGAAAGAATATTGTAAAAATTTCCCAAATATTTTAGAACACTGCACTAGCGGATTTAAATATTGGCAAGGGCTATTCCAGTTATTTGTCGGGCATTTAAAACACATTTAACACATTAAATTCATTTAAACGATTTATTGAAAGTAAATGAATTTTTGTTCGATATACTTGTACATTGATAGATTTGAGGTTTTAACATTTCATAAATATCTTTAAGTGGCCGTAATATACAAAGATACATATTCGTTAAATACACATATAGCAACACACACATATACATATAGATTAGTTAATGAAAAGTAACGCGTTAGCTTTGTCGCTCGTCTAGTTTGTTTGATTTTTTTTTGTTTGTTTCGTTAAATATTCGCTTTGAACGCTTGGTTAATACGATGCCATAGTACAATACAATACAATACAATAAGATATAAATTCAAATACAAAAATCAAATTCTTGTGCGCTAGAAGGTAAGTTTAACGGACTAAATTGTTGCGTTTATTGTTTAATAAGAGGTACAAGTGTGTTTATAACATTCGTAGTGGTGTTCTTTTGTTTCGCTTGTTTCGATTCGCTTATCAACTCTCTATTTCGATTTAAAACTCGGTTTTTGTGTGTTCTTACAACTAATTTGCATTAAAAGCGGACTGCTGGGTCGTGATTTAAGTATAGGTTAAAAAGGCGCCCCTTTTCTTTGTTCAGTTAGTTTTGGTGTTTAACTTCCTTTTTTGTTTGTTTGTACAAATAAATGTTGGTGAAATAAATAAGTAGGTTTAAATGAATGATGAACTTAAGTAAAAAAAAAACAATATAATAATAATTACAATAAAAATAAATGCCAGTTGATACAATTGCAGCGCGGGGAGATTCTCGTATAATACAAAAGAATTCAGAGGACATGCCACGACAGGGCATGCCAGTTTCTTAAAGCTTTATGTTCTTCTCGTGTTCGTTTCGTTTGATTTTATAGTTTTTTGTTTTGTTTCGTTTTTTTTTTCTTTTTTGCTGTTTGCTTGGTTAACTCCGTTGGGCCTGGGCCGTGGTCTTTATCTTCATCTCAGGAACTGGTGATCTTTGTGTACGTGCTTTACAAATTTAAAAATATACATGCAATCGATATTCGGTAAAAAATATTTCCGTTTCGTATTCATCGTCATTGTCATCCAAGTGGTTGCATTTTCAGTGAAGGCCTTTCCATTCCGTATCCATTCTACACATACACATACATATATATATATATATACACAACATTTTTACACTTATCTCTTATCGCTCGCACATCTTCCGTTCGCATATACTGATAATGGACTCTGGACATCTCTATCTCTGGACATTCTATACATGTATTGTATCAATATATATAAACACTCTCTATATAGGTATTTGTACGACTTTCTGTGGGAGGGGTTTTGGTTTTGTCCTTTTGTCTCTAAAAGCACTTTTTAAACAGATTTAGGAAACGCATTACTCTTGCGCCAAGTGTGGTACGTCTAGTGCGCGGGTCTGTAGTTGTTATTCATGCAGCTGAAAATAAGACAAAAGTTTTGCATAAACACATCGAGGGGTAGGCATAATTTTTGGGATGGACAAAAGAAAAGCGGGTTAACAATGCGGTAGGGTGGGCGGGGACATTGGTTAACATTGGTTACTTATTTCTTAGCTTGGATTTTCTTGTATAAAATTCAAATTTTAATAAAAATATACACGTATATAAAATCTTGATGTATCCGATAAATCTGATTTCATTTCTAGTTAGGTTTAATGTTAGGTTTACGCTAAAAGCTACTGAAAACTGAAATGAATTATTGGCAAGTGGAAATTGTGTTCTTAGGTAGTTCTATGGATAATAATATAAAAATCATCTGGGCATGCATATCATAAATATATATTGTATGTATCTTGATTGCTGTTACAATGTAACATTTTGGTGTTTTTGTTCTCCTATCTTGCTTGTCTCTTTCAGCGCTGGTTAAGTCCATTGTTTCGTATTGGAACAACAAAAGGTATGGCAAAAACTACACTACGCTACATAATCGTAAGGTGCGTTTAATTCACACAAATATTATCGAAAATATGTATGCTGTAAATGCTTTAAGGTACCGTACCATATATGTAGTTATGTATATATATATGTATATAAGTATATAATTATCAAATGTTTTTAAACATCAATTCGCTAATAAGACATATAAATATGTAGTGCATTATCTTTTGGGCTTTTTTTTGTCATCTCTCCGAGTGTTTAACAATTTTCATTTTTGGGACCAATCAATCAATCAATCAATCGTTCTTGGTGTTTCGATTTCGATTTTGGCAAAGCTTAGATAACTACAAAATACATTTATTTTGGAATATTTGGAATATTTTTGTGTATGCTGTGACGATATTTCATTGGCTGTCAATATTCAGCTGTTTTAATGTTTGTTTTAGCAATTATATATTTTGAAATTAATTTGCAATTTTACTATTAGTGTTATTTAGCTTTTTGTTTCTTTTTTTTTTTTTGGAAGTTTCAATGTGATGGACTGTCATTAATTCGATGTTTGGCGCGTGATTTGCTGTGAGAGGCGCGTCGCAGGCTGCTAGCGCTGCCCGGGCAATTGTCATAAAAATCTAATGATTCCGATGAGAATGCTATATAAATATATAATCGGTGTGATACAAAGAAAAGGTTAAATTTGAGTAAATAGTATTGTTTATACAATTTGTCAGTGTTCATTCGACTGGGAATGCTAGTGTAAGAAAAGAAACTCACTAGGTTAAGCATTGCATTATACGATTTTGTGCTCGGTATACCGTCAAAGCTATATCTACTCACCTTTATCCGTTGGTGAGCCCAAGGTCAGGCTGCTCAAGCTGGAGCTCAGGTTGTAGGGACGCGGTGAGGGTGGCACTGGTGCAGTTTCATCGCCCGGCAAGCAAGTCTCAACCATGGCCTCCAAGCAGTTGACAAACAGCTCTGACGATTCACCCATCATGTTATACTAGAAATATTATTATTGATTATTATTTGCTTTATATTATTTGCAGACATTAAAACATACTTTGGTAAATGGACCAGCAAAGCGCCAAAGTCCACCAAAACCGCAGCTCTGTAAGAAGTGCAACTGCTGCTGGGAGGGATCCTCGCTGGCCAGCATATTCTGTATGATATTCTGTACCGAATTGAGCACAACCTGATCGTGCGACACGGACAATATATTGTTGATCTTTTGGTCCAGCAACGAATGGCTGAAATGAGAATGAATGCATCAATTTTGATTATATTATAATGCGTTTAATGATCCACTTACATGACTGGAAATACTTTTGGAAAGACGACAGATCCTTCGGCTAAATACTGATACAATACGCGAGTTTCTCCCTCATCCGATGAGTACTTGACCAAGGTCGCCAGCACAGTCAGCACCAAGGCTTGTATGGATAAATCGGGTAGAACTTCGGGATCAAGTAGAACATTCGACTCGTTGGATACCGAAGAGCGTGAGCCGCGTTCCTGTTGTGAATGAAATATATTTTATCAAATTGTTTGGGAGAAATTACAACCTAATACACACACACACATAGATATACGTTTTGGAAAAAAGGTTCGTGAAGATGTTGTCTACCATAAATAAAAAAATAACAGAGTGTACGAAAATGTGCAATGATCTGGTTGGATGGAATATTACTTTGCCTTTCATGCAGTGCCATGCAGAGTAACAACAAAACAAAAGATGTTTTCTTTCGAGTGGGTGGGTTTTAGTAGATAGAAAGAATACTTAGAGAAGTACGAGGTTAGTGGGGATAGATGTTAGTTTTAGGTATAGTTTTAGTTTTAGTTTTAGCTAAGAGATAAGATTATGTTTGTAGAGCAATACCTGACGTTCTTCGATGCCGGTTGCATTGTTCGGATCTTTGGTTGTTGGCACCGAGAATGAGCGTTGAGTTTTGAATAAAACTCTCGCATTCTACGAATGTATACAGTATTTTTTTGTTTAAATGTTGTTTTTTTGTTGTGGTGTTGATGTTGAGACCAAATCAAACGCAAATCAAATGACAATTGTTCATGCGTAGAGTATGAGCAGTAGTAGTGGTGGTGGTAGTGGTGGTGGAGTAGTAGTGTGGCAATAGATATATATTTTGATGAGAGTTACAAGCACCAATTAGATGTAGTAGTAGTAGTAGTAGTAGTAAGAGTCGGCAGGCAGGCAGATTATAATGGTATATAAACGGTATATATACGAGTATACATTGTGATTTATATGTATGTAACGTAACGGATTTGTTTTTTTTTTTTTTTTAAATCATAAAAAGAGAAACAAGAAAACATCATTGAACGATTATTAGTTATGCAAAGGCTGATCACTCGCTCGATCTGATAGATATATAGTCGGATATAGTAGTGGGGATATATACCATATAGAAATATATATATATGTATATATAATTAGAGACTCAAATAGATAGCCAAAAGTTACTATAGCAGATGGTTATAACAACTTTTGTACAGCGATTTTCGAACAACTGGCAAAGGAGTACACGTGGGGTTGTGGGTGGAGTGTGGGTATTTACCTGCAGAGTAGGCACCTTGTGCTGGCGTGCAAACTGCAGTGCGGACTGATCCAGTATGTCCCAACTCTTTTGTCGTCGCGACAAGGGCTGGCCAATCTATTTTTGTGGGTGTAAAAAATATATATATATATATATATATATTTGTTTGTCGTGTATTTTATGTAACTTACAGCCTGAACTGCTCCATTTGATAGTTCTGCGTTCTCTACGCTGCCACTGAGATCGGCGGGCCAGCGGGGAAGGGCATGCTTCACATGACAGCGGGAGCGCACTTCCTCGGACACAGCCACAAGAGCTGTCAGATAGGCCACACTGTCGGGCGTCACCTCGAACTTGTCGCGATGCAGCGGCTTGGCTATGATGCCCAGCAGCATGGTCAGCACACGTGATGTGCGCGATACAGTGGTCGGTGTGGGATGACGGAAGCCCTAAGGAATGAAATATAAATTAAAAAACAAATCCAACTTCTGTGCAATCCCCTCACCTTTATCAGATGTCCGACCAGAGCAAAGTGGAAATTGCTACGGAATGAGAGACCCACGGCATGGTCCAGCTGTTTGAAGTGCCACTCGAGCTTTTCGCGTGTCTTCATCATGACCTCGGCTATGGTTTCCTTCTTGTCGAAACATCCTTGCGACTTGAGTGTGTGCAGATTCTGTTCGAGCAGCGCCAGCCCAGCCCCATAGAGGGTAATCTCGTCCAGTTGCAGCACTGATATGGCCACCCAAAAGAGGGCTCGATGGATGGGCGATTCGGGTCGCAGCAGTGGCTGAATGCGCGTCAGGCACATGACCAATGCCTCGATCAGAATTAGATCATTAAACGACTCCAAAGCCTTGACCAGAATGCGCAGCAGTTGCTTCACCTCGTGATCCGTCACACTCTTGCTGATGCAGCCATAGACGATGAGCGCACGCGGCTGCAGGGCCGGATTGTAGCAGAAGGCAAAGCTGCGGGCCAACGAGGTCCAAGTTTGCAGCCATTCGCAGTCGGGGACATCGCGCATGCAGGCCTCCATTATCTCAAGCAGGGCATCCGTAATGACCTCCAGCGAGGGCAGCGATAGACGCTCCCGATCTGCAGGCAATGGCTGTGTGACACGCTCATTGCCCAGCCACTTGTCCGTGGGATGGCGGCAGCTGGACCGGAAGGCGGTGACTGCTGCCGACTTGACCTTGCTGATGCCGAAGAGTAAGTAGAATTTTGGCAGCGAGAACTCATCCAGTGAGAGTCGCAGCACACGCTGTGCCTCCTCCGAAAAGGAGGGATTTGTGCAGGTGCACAGTGAGTGAATGATATTGATCACCAGGCCATGGGTGGAGGCTCTCATCGACAGCGATCCAGAGCAGACCAAGAACGTAATCGTGTGGAATAGATAGGGCACCGATGTGGCCACATCCAAGCAGTTGTTGAACGACAACATGAGCAGATAGCGTCCCAGTATGGCAATGTCATCCCACATCATGTGCTGCTCCAGATATTGAGTGGGATTCGTGCACGATTTGTCCATGACACGACACATGCGCGTGATTACCTTCTTGGACACCAACTGAACGTTGGCCGAGGCCAGGGCCACGGCTGTATCGGCCATAATCTCCACCTGCGGTGAGCCCAGACCATACGTTATCGATTTATGCAGGAAATTATCCAGAACCATGTCGATGAGCTCTGGTATCTGACCAATGGAGCCCCAGATTTTGGCCTGCACCGAGGGGTACATCTCCTTCTGGTCAATGGTGAGATTGATCAGCTTGTCCAGGATCTGGGATACCTTTAGCTTCTTGGCATCGTCGTTGGACTTGCAAAACTTGACCAGATTCTTCAGCCAGGGCGTCATGTACTCCAAACATAAATGCTTCAGCTCGATGGTGCTGCGCTGGAAGCCCTGGATGGATTCCTCGAGGAACTCCAGCGTCAAGTGCGGCTCATTGGTGGCCAATTTCTCGCTGACCGACTTGATGAAGATGGTGTTGTTCGAAGGGATGCACAGTCCCTGCGTCTCCAGCAGTTGCCCCTCAATCTTCAGGTCAAATGTGGCTGTCAAAGCACACAGCAGGTTGTAGGCAGCTGTTCTCAGATTGGGATCGCAAGAGCCCAGGTTGAGGAGTGCCATATTCAGCAGCGTGCCCGGCACATCCTTCGGTCTGATCTTCTGATGGACTGTCACCGAATCCGGCTGGCTCAGCTCCCAGCGGTTGCGTATGTGTATAATGGCCTGGACAATGTTGTCGCAGTCATTGTGGATGAAGCTCAGTTGGCCGCTTTCATTGGTTATCGACAGCGTAAACTGATTGTCATCCACCAGGCACACCTCCTCAATCTCCGAGGCATAGTAGACATCGTTCAGCAGCACCGAATGGGCCAGCACTTTGGTCTTTTCCGCCGACGTGATCTGCAGTGCGGTGGGACCCACTTTAATGGCCACCTTGGTGTCCTTGTGGCTCAGCTTCAGGGCATTGCTAAACACCTTGAGATCCTCATCCAGCGAGAGTGTGGCACCCGGCAGCTTCTGCTGCTCGGCATCAATATAGTCCGTCAGCTTGTTCGGTGACTCCAGGAACATTAGCTTGCGATTGCCCTTGAGCGGGGCCAGAATTCGATCGTGGAATTTGGTATACTCGCGCACCCACGAATTGCAGTTGTAGATGTACACCGCATGGACATTCTCGTAGGCCACCGTGGGCAGCACATAGAACCACTTCTGCAGGAACTCTGTGCGGAAGCGATTGTCCGAACAGGTGTGCGTGAAATCAATGACCACCTCGAAGGGCGAGTGGCAGAAGGGCTTCAGTGTGAGTATGACATGGTAGATCAATAGATCCCCGTTTGTCTCGCCAATCCTTCAATAAAATAATAAAGTTTTAGTGGGAGATTACAGTGAGTGGGGGTGTTAAACGGACACTCACTTGTATCGCCTCGCTATATAGTAGAAGACGGGATAGCCCGATTTGCTGGTACCCGCCTGGTAGAATATATTCATGGACTTGAGCGTCTTGAACTCCTCCTTCTCGTGCATCTGATGCTTGACCATTATCTCCTCAAAGTTCGTTGAGGACATATCAATGGAGCTCCAGCGTGCATACGAACTGAACATCATGTGCGAGTCCACGGGCTTGTGCTCTGGCGGCCCCAGATAGGCCAACAGTGTGGCCATTTTATCAAAGGGTCGCCTGCCCACCGCCTTGTGATCGCGACTGCTTGACAGATAGTCGCCGATCTTCTCCTGATGCGTCCACAGCAGTCGATGCAGGGCCAAAACATTCGCATCCGAAATGAAGCTCATGCTATGCGATGTCTGATCCACGGTCTCGCAATCGGAGGCAATCTGTATAAAGAAACGGCGACCCGCCTCGAAGTGATCGCGCAGGAAATCGTTGAAGCACAACATGTGCTGCTCCTTGGAGAACTCCACATGATTGGCAATATTCTGTAGGATCTTGGACATTAGCATGAGACCCCGCTTGGCCGAGCTGTGCACCTGCTTGTCCACAATGCCCAATTCCTGGGGGGAAACTACACGGAAGAATGGTAAATAGAATTAGTGTTTGGATTGTGTTTATTATGTCTGCAGATGTCTTACCTATGGCTGGATTTATGAAGCGCAAAAAGATGACTGTGCCCACGGCTCCAATGTTATTCTGCAGCAGATTGGGGAACCGTTTGCTCAGCACCTGGTACAGGCAATGGCACATGGAACGCAGCTGGGGTGGAAAACGATCCGATGAGTTGGTTATGGCATCGAATACCTTCTGCGTGAGTGCAATCAAATTGTTGCGATGCTGTTCGATATCCTCGCCAGCCTCCAGCCTTGCTGGATCCACCTCAAAGCAGGTCTCCTCCTGTTCGTCCAGCAGCGGACGAATGAGTGGCTCCAGCAGCATTTGCAAATAGCTGGCGCCATAGATCTTAAAGCAAAATGCCATGATCTTGCTGCCCAGAGAGTTGCCACGGAAGAGCGTCTGCATGCAGTCGGAGACCTCCACTTCGCGATAGAACATGTTCCACAGCAGCGGCGACAGCAGGTGCTTCGCATCGAATAGGGTGACCAGAACCCGTGCCAGTTCATCCATTTGGGAGGTGGTCACAACATTGGCCAAGGCCATGGCAATGGGCAGCTCTCCCTTGTCGCTGATCATCGTCACCAGCTGCACCAACTGCTCGAAGCGATCGGCCAGAACCGTCTCGGCCAGCGTGTCAAACTCTGTGCCCTGCTGCAGGATTTGTGTGAGAACTTCCATGAAGGCGGCACGCGTCTGCAGATCGGGATTGTAGCCCAGGTCAATGGAGTGCATTAAGCCAGAATCAATGTTGGCACCCAACAGATTCGACATGGCTTGGATGGTGGCATTTCTCAGTGCCGTCAGCTTGCCGGCTGCCATGCGTGGCCGTGGCGGCAGCAACGGTGTGTTGTTCAGCTCCTTCTCCGCCTCCGAGCTGTCGATGCAATCGTTCAAGAGGTTCATGAACAACGTGAAATACTTTAGAAAGAGCGCACTCTTTGCATCCATTAGATCGCCACGATCCGATTCCTCTGGCTGCAACGGAAGACCACGTAGAAGCGCCGCGACAGCTTCCATGCATGCTTGGTCCAAGTCCCTGAATATCAGCGATGTGTTCGTCAATATAGCAGCATCCGCCGAGCTGGGCGGTGCAATCTGATGGGAGGTGCCCATCACCCAGTCGGTAAGGTACTCCACCAGTTTGTTGCGGAACTTCATCTCCTGACGGAAGGCTAAATCGTCGCGTCGCTTCATCATCACCTCCACCAGCTGGCAGAGTTTTGTCTTGACGCGAATGGCATAGACGGTCATGTCCAGATGGCGGACATATCGGACAATGCCCAGCATCATGCCCTCAATGCTCGTCACACCCAAGTGCTCCGAGGGCGAGGGCTGCTCGTTGTTGGGATCCTTGCTGGCCTTGGGGTCCAGTATCGACTTCATGATGTAGATCGTGTGCTCAATAAACTGCGTATTGATGTCCGTCACATTGACATTCACCTGGCCCTGCTGGTCGAAGAACTTCTCCACAATGGCCCTGATCTGGTCGAAGAGTATGGGATACAGTTGGGTGGACATTTCCTCGCCCACCAGCTCCTTCACATTCTTCTGTATGTTGAGGCCGATCTTCTCGTTGCTGCACACCAGCAGACGCAGCAGTTGGCCAATGAACTGCGTCACGGGGCAGTAGCTGACATCCTGTGGCGGGGCTGGTGGTAGCGTCGATAGCGATACAGTGCTGGGATGCAGTGAACCATGCCCGGAGCTTGTGGAGCTCGAGTAGAGCGACGGTTGAGCCAATGAGCCCAGGGAGGCATTATTCTGCGACTGCTGCAGCAAAGTTTGACGGCTGCTGCAGCGTTTGTGCAGGCAAACGCCGCCCAGGGCCAGCAGGAACCACGTCATATTGGCCCATTCGTTGATTTGTTCCTCCAGATCGTGCTCGGAACTCTGATGGCTTGCCCGGCGCTTGCCCATGCCCCGATGGAAGACCTCCGCCTGGCCATCTTCGCCCTTGCATTTGGGATACGTTTGCAGCACCTTGCTGGACACCTCCCAGTTGCGAAAGGTCTCCTCCCAGGCGGGCTGAACGCCATGGACACAGTGCTCGATCTTGCGCAGCAGCGTCATGATGCGTTTCTGGAGTGTGAGGCGACTCAACACATTGCCATGGGTGTTGTCAAAGAAGCAAATGCGGGTATCCGTTGCAGCTAAACAAAAATATACGAAAATAAATATGATAATTAATTGATAAATTAATTATTTAATCAACCCACAAGTGGACAACTGTGCCAGCTCCTGATAGATGTGATAATTGGGCATGATGAAGCCCACTGTCAGTTCGTCGGAGCTGCAGCATATCTCTGCCTCCTCGCAGAGCAGGCCAAAGCAGGAGAGCGATGTCAGTACTGCATCCAAGTCCACGCTCCACAAATACATGAAGAACACGACCTCCATTTTGATATGCGCCTGCTTGCAGATGGCTATCTGACTGCCCACATGGGCATAGTCCTTGTGCCGCTGCAGGAAAGTGTTGCGGCAGATCAATATCTCGCGCAGCCACTTCAGCACATCCGTATAGTTGGCTATCTGATGCTGAATGAGCTTCTGCGAAATGGAGAACAGCACCTGAGAGCTGACGTCCCAGAAGGTGTTGATGGGCGCCTCGGGATTCCAGACTTCGATTTTTTCGGGTGCATGCAGCGCCAGCAGGGCTTCCATGGCCTCCTGTGCCACATCTGGCATGGTGGTTTGATGCACCAGACTGACCAAACCATTGATTAGCTCTAGTGTAGAGCTTTGTACCTCATGGGCCACCTTGCCTTGGGTCTGCGAAAAGGAGAAATTAAAGCAAGAGCTTGGCCGTCTCATCGTTCAGAGCTTACATTCAGCAGCAGCGTGGGATCAGCGTGTATCAGTCGCACCAGCAGCAGCAAGAGCATCTTGTGGGCTGGTCCCTCCTCGGCACGTGTAAGACCCTTTTGCGTGTCCTTGGACTTGAGCGTCAGGGAGGTAATGTAGCGCAATGGCGTGTGTGCTATATACCCTTGCGTGGCCTTATTTAGGGTGTCCGTAAACAAAGCGCGCAGCTCCGCAGAGCGATAGTGGACGACTTCGGTCTGTGGCCACCAGGACAGACGCGGCTGGTTGACAATGCGAAAGGGATTCTTGTTTTGCAGACGAAAATCCACGTAGATGTGAGCCAATCTGCAGGGGAGAGACTTTATCAGACACCGATGTTGATGGAATACATCTCATAATTACCTCAGCAGCGAGCACACAATTACAAAATGATATGCCTGTGGCGATGACAGATTCAGGCAGACCTTAAGAGCCTCAATGTTGTGCGGACTGATGCGGAAGCATGACACCCAGCAGTCGATCATTAGCTCGATGTCGGCAAAGTTATAGCCCTGACCGCGGGAGAACGGTTTGGCTGGGTTAAACAGCAACGCCTTCAGATCATTGATGAAGTATTGCACCAGCTTAAAGACCACATTGTTGGAATCCGTTATATTGATGTATGTGGAGGCCTTGCACAGCTTCACACAGGCAATCGCTGAGGATTCGGTGACCTGTTTCGATGGCGAATGCTGGCCCAGGCCACGCTTGATGCTCTCAATAAACTGCCTGGCCGAAAAGTCCTTGTCCTTGTCCCGCGATGCCGACTGTGTGGACTTTGAGGGCACCTTTTCCTTCTCTTTCTCCTTCTCCGACTGCTGCAGCTCGTTGACGGTGGCCTCCAGGCTGGAGGGATTCAATATCAACAGCAGCATTTGCAAAGGCCAGACCATGGTCTTGCTCTTCTTGTTTTCGGTCTTGAAATACTCGACAAAGTCCAGCAGTGGCTCCCAGCAGCTGTAAGGTACGAAATTAATGTTACCCAATATAAAAACTAAACTATTTACGCACGTGGATATATCTCGATTGGTGCCACGCTGCAGGTCCTGGAACTCCTGTGGATGGTATTCAATCCAGTTCCAAATGGCCTTCTCCAGGGAGTAGAGTAAAATCAAAGGTGGAGCGCGCTTAGAGCGGAACTTTGTGATGGTTTCTGCAAAAATGAAAGCTTTTTAATACCCTGTAGTTCTGTTGGCTAAGAACTTTTTACCTTGTAGCAGCTTGGTAAGCTTAACCATATCCATATCGATGTGTTGTATCAATTCGATGTCATTGTAATCGGGGTTCTCCTCCGAGCACGATGTCAGCTCCTGAATCCTTGCCGAGATGCGATTGAAAACAGCCGAGAAATGATTTTGGGACAGCGCAAACAGCACCTTGGAGGCCAGCGCCTTTAACTGTGCCGCATTCGGATTACTGTCGCTCTGCACATCCACAAATTGTGAGATTTCACGCAGCAGCAGCTTCACATTCATGGCCTCCTCAAAGCGGGCCGTATCCTTGGTCTGATTGGTCAGACATCGCTCGAGGGTGGTCAGTATAATGACCAGAGATTCGAAATAGCAACGTTCTGGCTCATATCGGTTTTGCAGTGCCTACAAAAGTTTATATTTTATTTTTATTAATTAAGTTAATTAAGTGTTTTTTTTCGTTCACTTACAGCCTCGTTGACGCGCTGCAGCATTTTTGTGAGGCCAGAGATGACCAGCGAAAAGCGGTAGCGCGATATGTGGATGAGGCATGCCACCAGTTGGTCCTGGCTCATACGTGCCTGTGTCCCATAAGCACCGATACGGTTCGGCAGCTGCAAAGCAAAAGAGAGAAACAGAAACGCATTTAATTGATTATTTCCATTTCATTCATTCATTCATGGGGGGTTTGCCGTTGCCACCCTCCTCCCCCTCGCACAACGTAGCCCCATTGAGAAAAGAGCAGGAGCCAGCATGCGGGTGGTGGATGGGGGGAGGCAGGCGCTGAGCAGCAGGTACATTTTTTCGCCTTGGCATTGCCGAAACGCAGCAACCTGAAAAACGTTGAAGGAACACTTGCCTGATCCTCGAAGCGCGCCAGCAGGGCACTGGCCCACTCGCCAGGCTTTTGAGTAGCCATTTTGTGTGGTTTTTGCAATTATTTAAAGCCTTTTCACTGCATTTTTTGTTTAAGTTCAAGACCCGACGCGCCCACCGAAATTTGAAACTGAAACCTATTAATTCCCAATTCGGTATTTGCCGTTGCGTACAAGCGGTATGGGATTTTTCCCAATTCCCAATTGTGGACAAACGGTATTGGAATTATAAAAATCCAATTGGAGCTCACTTTTGACGCAAAAATGAGCCGTTCACAGTTTCTAGTGTGACCGCGGACTTATCGACAAAATATATCGTCTGAACCTCAAAAACATACCATAAGTACCGTCTCATTTTCAAAATATACCGTAGACCGTTCGTTTAAATCACACATTGGTCACACTAATGCAACTGTAATTATCGATACTATCGATACCTTCCAAAATTACACGGAAGTTGGCGCCAATAATAATTTCAAATATAGATCCAAGCAACCAAATTAAAAACGAAAAATTAAACTGAACCAGATCTCCCTTCTTTTCGGTTCATATGAGCTCTTAAGAGCGCGCTGTTTTAAAATTAAAAAAATCATTTCTATTGTTAGTTATAATTCGTTTATTTAATGTTGTTTATGCATAACAAATTATTACTATTGAATATTTTTGATAGTATTCCTCTGTTTTAGCCGGTGCTGTTGTGTCTCTTGGTTGGTTGGTTGGTTGTTTGGTTGTTACGTTTCTGTGTCTGTGTGTGTGTGGGGGCTTTCGTGCAAATTATAAATAATTTCCAGTAATACTAATCAAATATTTGTAATGTTTCAGCATTTCGAGCAGTAGTGATTTAGAGTTTCGTCCAACATTCGTTATTAATAATTAAATTGTTCTATTCGTGGTATAAAGTTAGTTTTTCGTTTTCTTTTTGTTGCTACCTAAAAAACACATTTACAGTCGCATATAGGACAGGTATTATGTATGTATATAATAAATACCATTTATTGAAAATGTCTGTGTTATTTTTCAAAAATAACAGCACTTAAGTAGACAAAAAATGTTTAATTTAGGCATAAGCTTATGTTACATTCGTTTTTATTGGCCGTTTTTGGGGAAGTGTGTTCATTAGCTTCTACTAATTAAAGAAATTTAAAAGAAGCGTACAGAAAATAGATTGAAAATATTATCGCGGTATAGTGGTAGGTAGGGTAGGCGTTGCAGTTATACGAGTATTCGTTTCGAGTATTTCCTTTTTGATTTCCTTTGCATTGGAATATACGAGTATGTATTGTTTGTATGTATGGGTTTTCTCTGTCCTTTAAATGCAGGTATTGATATTACTTCGTTAGTTATGGGCTGCTATAATTATTTTTTTTATATCGGTTAGATGGGTACATTACATTCTTTCTTTGCTCTATATATGTATGTATATTCTGTATGAGTATATATGTAACTTTCTTTTGTAGGTATGTCAAGTTTCGTATGGACGTTTGATGATTAGTTGATCGGAAATGATAAAGTGCTAAAAGTGTCGCGGGAACTGAGTCTGAGAATAGCGCAGAACTGATGCTCGTTGTAAATAGATTTACGCGTAGATGTTTCAAGATCCCTATAGTATGTATCTATGTATATTTTTTTGTTTGCGTTGTTTTCCTCTTCGTTGGCTTATAGCTAAGTGGTTTTGGTTTTTTATTTTTGAAATTTGATTTCAATGCAGTGCAACCCTGCCGTTCTTGAGCAGGCCTGGCAACTCTGAAAAGCGCGAGTTGCCTACCGGTAAATTAGTGCCTAGTTTTTTGTAAGGGGTTTCCCCGCCTCAATTTTGCGTTTACTAGAGTTAAGAGACTAAATTTAACAATTCCATTGGGGGCATCAGAGAGAATCAATTGTTGGAGGGGTGGGGAGGGTAGGGGAGGAGTTTAGAAGCTTAAATGGTCCACACTTGAACCTTTTCGGCCACCACACACCAGCTGGCACGCTCGTAGTAGGAGCTCACGATATGCAGACTGGCCACATGATGGTTGATCAGCGCGTCCAGCTCGCCCTCGCGGAACACATGGTAGTAGCGATGGTGTGTGCTCGAGCCGCCTTGGGAGGGGCTGTCCAGCGAGTTGGTGGAGCTGTTCGAGTGCTCCATCGAGTCGGTGGAGTTGCGCTGCTGGAGCGGTGCCTGCTGCTGCTGCTGTTGCTGCTGTTGCTGCTGTTGCTGCGTTGCCGAAGGATTTGCGCACACGGGCGAGGGGGTGCTGGGCGTGCTCTGCTTCATGGCCGCCATATTGCGGCGCCGCTGTCCGTAGTCGTGCATGGAGGCGCCTATGCCCTCGCCCAGCTGGTCGCCGCCACGTGCCTCGAGCGCCTCGGCATCCTCGTCCTCCTCCTCTTCGGGAATCACATCGTCCTCGTCGTCGCGCACATCGCTGTCGCCATCGTCCTGCAGCAGGTAGGCTGTCTCCGGATTGAGCTGGTAGTGGCGATTCCGCTTGTAGTTGAACTTGGAGATCTTGCAGTGCTCGTAGATGCCCAGCGAGTAGCTGGACTCATTCTCCTCCTCCTCCTCCTCCTCTTCGCCATCCTCCTCTTGGATGGTGAAGCTGCGAGTCTGCGAGGACAGCGAGGAGGTGCTAGAGGAAATTGGTGACTGCTGCAGACTCGGCTGCGTGGAAAGATTGACCAGCATCAAGCGACGCTCTCGCAGCTCATCCCTGAAGGCGCTCAGTTCGCCATTCGAGCGCTTCTTGGCGCCGCCCAGGTACTCGGAGAGATCTCCGATACCATCCAGGGACCGGCACTCCGCACGGCTGCTCTTGTCCTCCAGCTCCCGCTGCAGCTGGGCCGTCAACTGCTCGGCAAACTCGGCACAGTCCTGCGTCTGGCCCGACTCCCGTTTCTCCGGCAGCAGCGGGGCACTGTCCGCATTGAGGATGATGTCATCGTTGGCATGGGGCACGGCATTATTGATCTGCAGCTCGCCCTTGTGGTACTGCTCCTGCTGCAGACTGATCATCTGCGCCAGGCTGGCCTCTCCCTCGTCCTGGGACGCGGATGTGGAGGCGTCGCCGCCCTCGCCCTCGCCGCCACTGCCAGTTGGGATCTTTGCCGAGCGCGGAGCACTGATGACACTGTCAATGGAGTCGGGCGAGGAGGGTTCACTGGAGTCGCTGTCCAGGTCGTCGGTGGCCGGATTGAACAGTTCCAGAGAGAGCAGCCTGCTCGCCAGCGAGTGGGCAGAGGCCGATGTGGACACACCCGAACCCGAGGCACGCCTCACAATCGGAAAATTCTGGCGCTGCAATTGCAGGGATTGCTGCTTCCGGAACTTGGGTATCGGCGGCAAGTCCCTGATTGTCTGACGCGTGATTTTGTGGACCGGTGTGTGGGGCTGTGGCTGCAGCTGGGTCTGTGTCTGGGGCTGTGTCTGGGGCTGTGCCTGTTGCTCCTTCTGCTGCTTGATGTGAGCCTCGTCGAAGCTGAAGCGTGCCGGCTTCGTGGGTGGCGTCAGTATGGCCATGGCCGCCGACACAGCGGTCGTGGACTGTGGCGGCGACGTCACCGTGCCCTGTATGGCGGCAGGGGAGTGCGCCGGAGTCGGAGGGCAGGGCATTATCAGCGGAGAGGTTGGCACAGAGTGTGTGGGCGGCAGTCGGAAGTTGGGATTGGTACCCTGTTGTGGGTGGTTAGCTGCTCCAGCGGTGGCCCCAGCAGGCGCATTCACCGCCTGGCCATTGCTGGAGGAGGAATTACTCGAGCTGGAGTTGGAGTTCTGGTGCTGCTGCTGGTAGTTCAGCTGCTGCTGATGCTGCTCCGGCTTGGGTATGAAGATGACCGAGGCGAAGCTGTCCTCGGACTCGATGCTCGTGTCCGACTGCAGGCTGCTGTCCTTGGAGGAGTCCGAGCCGGACTCGCGCGAGTGCCGCCTGGCCTTGGCCTGCTCGCTGTCCGCACAGGCGAAGCACTCCTGCTGGTACTGGCTGCAGTGGCAGCTGTTCCCCAGGCTGCAGTCCACGCTGCTGCAGTACGTCACGGGACCGGCCGCGGTCGTGGCTGCGGGTGCGGGTGCGGGCGCGGGCGAGGTGGCCGTGCTGGACAGTATCAGGTGCGTCAGGTGATGCTGCAGATGGTGGTGATGATGGTGATGGTGGTGCTGTGGTGCCGGCGACACTGTGGCCGCCTGCTTGTTATTGTTGTTCGTGGCAGCCTTATCCGCCGCAGCTGGCGTCTGTACAGGATTTGATGGCGTCTGGGGCGCACTCTTGATGTTCTGGATCAGCTTGCTGATGCCCGTCTTGGTCACACGCTCCAGACTGCCCGTCGAGCTCTTGATCTTGGTGGTGAAGCCCTCGCGGATCACCTGCAGCCGCTTGGAGAACATGGCCGAGCGACAGAGGAAGGCCTCGTTCAGCGACGTCTGCTTCTGTATCCGCTTTCGCACCCGTTCCTTCTCCCGCAGCCGATTGCAGGCCATCAGCTCCTCGTTGAGAGAGCTCTGCTTGCGCAGAAAGCTGGGCAGGCCAGAGGCAGTGCCTCCTGGTCCTGGTACCACTCCCACTCCCACTCCCGTTCCTTTGGACGTTGCCGGTGGTGAGGCCACCGATGAGGCATGCTGATGGAAATTGGAGGCATAGCAGCCGCTGCGCGTGTACAAGCTGCTGCTCACTCCCCCGTTTGAGCTGTTGTAGCTGCTCATCATGTGGAACGCCTCGGAGGTGGGCGGCGTAGCTGCATCGGCCAGGCCATCATCCTCGCACAGCGACTGCTTCTGTTTGATGAGCTTGGGCCGGCGGCTGAGCGTGTTGCCCGCACTCGCGGTGGTGGGCGGCGAGTGGCGGCCATTTGTCTGCTGTCCCTCGGGTGCATTGAGCAGCAGAGCCGCCGCACTGGCCTTTGTCTCGCCCGGAATCAGGGGACCCCCCAGGCTGGGCACACTCGAGCGGGAGCGAACGATCTGCCGTGGCGGCGGCTGTAGAATGCTGCCCAGGCTGCGGGACTTGAGGCCGGCGGACAGTGGTGGATCTGGCGGAAAGTCTTCAAAGTCCTCCAGGCGACGCAGCTCGATGGGCAGATCCTTGGCATCCTCATAGTCCAGGCTGCTGTCGTTTTTGGTGTCCTTGGAGGACCACGAGTCCATGAACCAGGCATGACGACGTCCACGGGCCAATTTCTGCAGCAAAAAATGAAAGATTAAAATTATTTTCTAGCTTGTGTGTTTGGGTTCTTGATCCTACCTGAATGGCCCGTCGCACAAAACTGTAGCAGGACTCGCCGGGCGACGATGAACTGAGACTGGAGCTGTCGCCGTCTCCTGCCGAGCGACTGGAGTTCGTTGAGTCCTCCGTGTAGGCGTGGTAGGGCGGCTGACAATTGTCATCGTCCTCTTCATCAGAATATGAATAATTGCGATTCTTGGGCGGCTGCCAGGGTATGAGGACATCCTGCGACTCAAAGCGGCGATGACGCTGCTCCAGTGCCCACACAGTTATGACGACACGGCCGCCAATTCTCAGTATTCTGGCCAGCTCCCTCAGGGCCTGAACGCGTCGCTCGGTCGTGGCAAAGTGATGCACCACGGCCAGCGAAAGCACCGCATCGAAGCTGTCATCGCGGAACGGCAGCTCCAGATTGTCGCACAGCGCCACCTGCGAAGCGAAAGCAAAGCACAATGAGAAACATGAGAAGGAGGGAAGGCCAACAGGAAGGAAGGCTAACAGGAAGGAATTCCAGTTACCAGCACCAATGCCAATTAGGTTACGCAAATGCAGAGCCCACGCAGGAATCTCTTTGAAACAGGAACTGCCACATTCATAGCCGCCTTCCCTAGGGTCTTGCTGGCAAAAGTATTCAATTTGAAATTGTTCTGCAGCTGCGGAAAGGTCAGCCAGGACTACCAGGGGGGATAGGGGATAGGGGTAGAGAGGACAGTGTGGCCGAGTAGGAGTAATGCAATTTTAAGCTCTGATGCAGTTGGGGAACTGTTCACAAAGGGTTCGTTTGCGACAAAAGCCATTTCCATATCAAAGCGGTTCAATATCATTGTATAATCTCTTTTCTCTTACACAGTGTGCGCTCGATAGAGAGAAGGAAAGTAAGTAAGTTTATTGCTTAATGCAAGAAAAGCTGAAAATTCTCTTACCGAGAGTAGACTGTAATCCCTAACCATTTGTCTACAGACTTTTGCAATTAGTAAGTTTTTCGTACTCAATGTGGGGTGCTGGAAGGCAAAAGAAAACCAAGAGACTCTCCCCCCATCGGTTGGGGAAATTGTTCGTTTGGTTTTTGTCAATTTGTAATTCTTGTGGGGACGCTTGACCGACCCATCAAGACAGGAACAGACAGAACAGTACCTGACCTGACTCAACATGGACATAAGACGTACATACTCGTATAAATTGCTTTTACCTCTTGATGCATGTTTACAGCAATGCACGCCATTTATATTCATTTGCATGGCACGGACAGACCTCGATAACACCGTGACGGTGTGAATTACCCGGGCAGAAAAAGAGGAAATGGCCACACAGATGAAAAATTGGCGAACGTGTCGAATTGTTAAGCGATTTAGCTAGGGTTCTGCCCTACCTTTTTTTTTTTTACTTATTTTCCGGATGCTGCATTGGGCAACAAACTATCGATTTATGAATCTAATTTATGTTGCTTAACAGGCAAAAAAATATGCAAACTATCCCACGGTTTTCATGCTGTGGCTGTGACTGTGGCTGTGACTGTGACTGTGGTCTGTTGTGTGGCCACAGAAAAGTGTTTTCGCTCTCACTGATACAATAGCAATTTATTTGCTGTAATCTATGGATGCACACTCCATTGAAAGCTCTAGGATTATCACGAATAAGCGTCACTCTCTCTCTCCCTCTTGCTCACTGTGTAATTTTCTGCAAAATGTAGAAGCCTTGACCCAACTTGCTGTGAGTTTTCTACCTATTTTAAGGGCTCTGTGCCCTTTGCCTCAATGCGAGTTCAGTTCTGTGCATGTACCTGCCAGAGTCTTCAGCAAATATCAATTAACATAAGTGTTTTCGAGCACTGACATGTCGATGAACGAGCATAGAAATTGCGACAATAGTACGAGCAGCAGCTGAAAGAAATAGTGCCCCCATCTAAACGTTGGAATCCATTAAACAGAATTGAATTGCATTTCACTGCAAATATTTAATCTTTGCTGCGGGAAATTCTTGCTTAAAACAGCAGCATTCCCATGAATTTTAGGTGAGGCAGCATTTGAGTTATATCTAGTATACGTTGTCCGTCGCAGGACCATCGCTCATTCCCATTCATCTACTATAGCCCCCTAAGCCTCGCTGCATTCTACTCGCATAGAAGCCGCTTGATGCATTGCTGCCTTGCTGCCTTCATAGTTTCGCGTTTCAATGTCCAAGATAGGATGAATGCGTGCGCTAACATTTTTCTTTTTCCCTTCTCTGCTTTCACTGCTATGCGCTTTACAAATCATATTTATAGCAGGCAGTCGCCATTTTGTACACACACACACACACACACACAGTGAGAGTGCTTTGTGGGTGTGTAATGTCACACGGGTCGGTCACATTACCCTTTTGGAATTTATGTTGACAAGGTTTTCTCCTGGCGGAGAGTGCCATGTGCCAGGTGAGAATGAAACATGTTACGCATACGCGACGTTGCACGCTAATGAGGCCAAAGCCGCTCAAAGTTTCACCAAGAACATACATACACACAGACAGATAGAACGGGGGGGAGTACGGGGGGGATCAGCACTCTCGGCTAAAAGAAAATACTTATATTTTATGCAGTTCCTCTTTGGCCTACTCGACTTGCGGCTTATTTAAATGGCGCTTAAGCCAAGAACGGCCCCTCGAGCCGTCTCTTTTTTTTCCCGTTTGCTCCGCTTGCTCCTTTTGCTGCTTTTCCCTTTTGGTAAATTGCAGGTTTCACCTGGCCCAAAAAAGGAAAGTGTGCCACAAGCTACCAGAGCCTTTCCGTGTGGCCCTTTCGTTATTCTCTGCTGCTGCAAGGAATCTGGCTGCGCTTTCGCTTTCCGCTCTTATTGAGTTTTACTTTTTGTTATGTTTTGCGGCCACGGCGCTACCCACTTTTATGCGCCATTTTGGGCGCGGCTCAAAATTTATGAGCCTCCAGCCCTACACAGGATATCCCCCCTGCACCCAGACTATGTGTGTGTGTGTGTGTGATTGTTGCAGCTGCTGACGCTCCACTTGCTGGTTTATTGGCTTGCAAAAATTATTGAAAACCAGGCCATGCACGAGCTGCAGAAATCAAAGTTCCTGCCAGTAAGTGCAACTTTCAGTCGCCCGGCCAAAGTTAAATTGGTTTTGCATAAAGTTTACGTCTCACAGCGAAAAACTTTCATCTGCTTGCATGTCACGTTTGCATCGGGTGCTGGCGCTGGCGCTGGTGCTGGTGCTGGTGCCGGTGCCATTTGAGTTTATTTTAAACACATTAGGTAAATGGAAACAAAGCCAGCCAGAATCCCAACAATTGAATGTGATTGCAATTTGCTGTTTTTATGCAGCGACAGTCTCTGCATACTGCCAGCAAAAAGTGATTAGAAACACATGCAAATAATTGGCTAAATGTCAAGGACGCGCAATCAGTGGCACGTTGTCCGGTGGCCGATAATATGACAGGTTATTAAATAAATTAAACCATTTACAGTAAATGCTGGGTGAATGGCTGCAGCTGTGCAACTGGAACTGGAACCCTCGCAACGGCCTCGTACCTTCCCGTCGTGCAATCCCACGCAAAAGCAATTTAAATGCGAAGAATGCGTGTTGCGGGAGAGAGGGTGAGGAATGCATTTCTTAGTAAATGGTATTTTCTTGCCTGCAAATGGCAGCATAAATAAGCAAAATGATGTGAAGCCCCGGCGTTAGTAATAGATTATTGCAAAAAGCGTTGCATACCTCAGGGCGGGCAACTGAATAATAGCCCGTGCAGTGCGGGCGGAGCGGGTGGGGCTGGGGCTGTGGTAGCAATTTATAGCTGCTCGCTGTAAAAGGAAATGTTGTGGGTAGCCAGCAGTAACAGCGGGGAAAAAACAGGAAAAAAAATAGAGAGAGAGAAACCATACGGAATGGTTGTGTCATTGTTAAGTGAAAATACAGCTCGAGGGGAAAACTTTTCGCTGTTATGGCTGATGTTCATTACGCCCATGGCAGAGGGTATTACATTTAATGCCGTGCAGAAGTTTTAAGCGGAGAAACGATTCAAGGATTTCATATATAAAACATTATAAATATCAGCATGATCCTGAAAGTCAGCTGCTTGGGCTATTTATTTAGTTTTGAGTTGCGAATATATTTCTCATCCCTTTCATGCACAATGTTACTGGATATGCTGGCAATTCCTACCACGATCAACAGGCTAGCCAGGCTTTGCTTAAACTTTGTCCACCATTAATAAGTTTCTACATCTATATGCTTTGGGGTGCATAAACATATTTATCTTTAGGGCCTGTGATGCATACGCATCGAAAGTTCAATTTAAAAAAAAACTGCATAAGTCTCGCAATTAATTTCACAATCAATTTAAAAGACGAAACTCATTAAAAATCGTGAGTGCAGAATAAGCAGTGAATAATATGGTATTTCCTGTCTTGCATCCTTCGATTATTCTGTGACAGTAATTGATATCTTTTGTTCGCTGATTGCGAGCGGAATTTTCATTTATTGCAATTAAAACAATTTCATTCTTCATGCTTACGAATGCATTTATATACGTACGTATAGCAACTGCGGCTATCTTATATTGGTAGTATCGATTCATTGCCCATTCAAAGTTGGTCAATTGGAAACTTGCTTGCGATTTGCGTCTGCACCAACTGCGCAGCAATTATGCAACGTTTGTGCCTGCAAAGGAGCTGCTGCAGTTTATTATATCCCACCAGCACATTCACACCGCCTCTGAGTGCTCTCTAACGACTCGCTTAACGGCGCCCTTGTCGGCCATTGCAATTACGGAGCATTAAAAACTCCCCAATGCAACGGCAGCAGGAACATGTGCAAATAATTCCCAATGATAAGCATAATTTATGCGTGCTGCTAATGGCCAACAACTCAAGTGGCGCAGCAGCAGCGGCATTTGAATCCAGCGAATGTTTTATGGTTCTCGCCATCCTGTCTCCCTGTGTGTGCCGCTTGTTAATGGAAAATGGGTCAATTGCATGGCTGCAACTTGCCACGACCACGAAACACAAACACTTGCATACAATTAGCACCGTAGAGAGGGCAGGGCACACACACATCCTTTTGACTCCAGACCCATTGTACTCACCTCACCGCCCTTCTCGTGGGCCACTTTGCTCAGACGGTAACACCGCTCCACGCCAATTGTGCAAATTGCCGGATTGCATTGTGTGAGGTAGCGTCCGCTGCCACAGCCCACGTCGCACACCACAGAGCCCGGTTCCAGGTTGCTCAGAAAGTGCGCCATACGTGGCCGCACTGGGCCCGTGGGCTCCTCGCAGTGCTCGTACACATCATGGACGTAGGCACGCTCCAGAGCTGCCGAACGACCGCTGGCATCGTTACTTAACGATGTTCCTGACGATGTTGCTGCTGCTGCTGCTGCTGCTGCTTGCGTCAAACTCTTTGTTGCCTCAGCTGTCAGGGTTGAAGGTGTGCCAGCTGCAGGTCCAGGTCCTGCCGCTGCTCCTGTTGTTTCGATTGTTGTTGTGGAGGCTGTTGGTGATATAACTGTGGGCGCCAAGTCTCCCGTTTGGGTTATGCTCGATGCCCCATTGGTTGCTGTGGTGGTTGTCAATTGTTTGGTCATTGTTGCTGTTGCTGCTGCTGCTCCTGTGGCTGCTGCTGCTGCTGCTGTTGTTGATGTGTAGCACTCTTCAAGTGTTGTTGACAGTAAAACTTCATCTGCAGCAGGAACAACGAGAAAAGGAAATGGATTTCACATGAATTTGTATTCTGATATCTTGAATCCTTTGAGTTTTGCACAGACCCGAAACAAATACCCCAATAGTAGCATGATATAACTATTTATTGTGTGTTTATTATTACGAATTTCCGAGAAAACTCATTGAAAGGTACGCGAAAGAATTTTCCGAAATTTAATCAACCTATCCTCAGCCCCTCCCTGTCGTGTGTGCAAACTGCAATGTAATTTATAATCTGCCAAGCAATTTGTATAATTAAGGCAATTGCCAGACTGAATGCATGCCATAAAGTCAATTCTGAATTCTAAGCAAAGAAAAAATCAAGCAAACAATGCAATCATGCTTGTACTGGTTGTTGCTGCTGTTTTGGTGCATGACATCAAGTCGTAAAATCGTTAGAACAACGTCAGCACAAAACCCACACACTAAAACCCACTCACTTGGACCCATGCAGTGGCAGTGGCAGAGGCAGTGGCACAAGGCAAAGGCTAGCCGAAGTTGCATACCGGAAATGTGAAAACTGTTCGAAGCTCCCATTGGTGTTGACATTTTATAACTGAGTTTCCGGTGGAAGTTTTCACTGCAGTTTGAATGGAAATTTTAACGCCATCGGCTCTTGGATCTTGGCTCTGGGCCACTGGGCCAGCAGTCAGCCCCTAATAAATTGCATTAAAAAGCCGTTGCACAGTAGAAAATTACCCGGCGGGTGCAGCCCGTGTGGGCGGAAAAGTGTGTGCCAAACGACATTAGTGCTGCGAAATGAAATTATAATTGAAATCTGATTAAAAGCAGTTGTAGTGGCAACAATGACACAGCATTAACAGCATTCAGAAGGAGGACAAAAGTGGCACTAGGACTAGGACAAGGAGCCTGTGAATAGGTCATTTCCAAAGGGTGTCAATGGGCTATCGCCCGTTCTGCGTCCAGTCACCAGTCGACTGGGTGGCTGTCTTAGAGATTGCGAGGGTGTTAATAAACTCTGCAAATGAGTTATTGAATATTCTTACTTAATGACTTTTTGTTCAGGGTATCTGAGAATGTAATGCGCCTGCCTAAAGAGTATAAATATAAGTAGAATTGTTAGATGCAGCGGATAATACCTATTAGTGATACAAATTTCTTCTTGGATCGAAATGGATATGGAAAAGGAATAAGATAAGCTCCAGGTGACTAAGCAAAGGTTTCACTATCAGAAAGCAATAATAGCTTAGTAAAAGTCAAAAAAGAAATAGTCAGAATGTAGTCAGTCCCCCAGCTTTATACTCTAGCATATTCCCAGCTTTATTTTCTACATTCCTTTTCGTGCCATAATTCTCTATCGTCCTGCTGCCTCTAGATAAGAACCTCCCCATTCTATGCATATTGTTAAATAATGAACCACCATTAACATCATCGGCCTGGTCGATTTGTCCTATCCAACAAAATGCTTCCCCTTGCAAACAGGAAACATACACATACGCAGCATGGTCCAGGCGGATGCTCACCTTTTGTTGGGCCGTTGTTGCGCTGATAACTCGCATTCAACAAAGCCGTCGACGACACCAGTTCCGACGATAACATGCGACAACAGACCAGATTGCCTATATAGGCTGATGATAAAGATGATGAGGATATAACGACGACGACGACGACGACGACAACGACGGTAATGACGACGACGACGACGACTTCGAAGGATACGATGGGAACGGGAACAACAACGTCGCAGTCAGAAAATCAATGTGCATGCATAATTTAAAGTCGGTTGCGGCACTTGGACCCTTGAATCAACTTCCACTGCTCCTTTGGGTTCGACAAGTTGGCGTAGCGCTGTGCCAGTATGTATTTTTAGAATTTCGAAGCGGGGCACGTTTTATACGTTAATTTGCTCAATTTATTTTTGAAATCTATCATTATAGCAACTACTACACGATGTAATTGCTATTGTTTGTTGCTGCTGTTTCTGTTGCTGTTGGCTGCTGGCTGCTGGCTGCTATTGCAAAGGACACGGGCATGGACACGGACACGGACGCACGCTTGCCTTGCCTTTGCCTTTGCCTTGGCTTGCCTGGTTCGAGTTCGAGCCCACAAAATAGGATACACAAAATGCTTTTCCAGCAGTGTGGCTCCGTTGCTTTGGCTATGGCTCTGGATGTGGCTCCTGTCAATGCCTCTGGCATATGACGTTTCCTTTGTGTGTATGTCCGCGTGTGTATGTGTGTGTGTGCGTGAGTGGTTGTTTGATTTTGCTGCTTCTTATAGTAACTTTTCACTTGCACTTTTCTTCTACTGGCGCTTCCTTATCAACTTTCTCTTCAAATAATTTTCCATTATCCACTTCGATTTGATTTCGGGGAGTATGTTTCATTTCTAGGACACTGGCACTTGGCGCTTCAATTATATACGAATGGATTTTGTCTGAGTCAGTGTTGGTGCGCGTTTGACTGTGTGCGTGTGTCGTCCTGTGTCACAGTGTGTGTGTGTTTTTTTTTTGTGTTGGCTTAACGTGTCGGCCAGCCGCTGCCGTGTCTGTGCTCTTGGAGTCAACGTCGCGTACTAACGCGAAAAGCCCATTGGACTCCAATCTGTTTGTTCAAGGATGTTGGCTCGTTCTCCTGCCACATGTGTATTCCATTCGCGAAAGCTCTCCACAACTTGACGAAAGCTTTCCTGCGTACGACGGGCAGATGTACAGCTGTTGAAAGAGAGGGAAAGTGATGCGGTTGGCAGAGTGTGTATTAGAGTGAGAGCGCAGCAATTGGAGCGGGAAAATTCGACAGTCTTTAAAAGTGGCTTTCTGGATTTAACATACGAGATCATGAAACAGAATGATGCTAAAATATGCAAATATAATACAGTAGATATCAGCTATATGCAATGAATATATGCTTAAAAATAAGCAATATAAAAATGTATTATCTTTTATGCCTTATTCATAAATTATTACTCAATATTAATATTGGGAAGGTTGCCAGTTACAAAATAAATTATATTATTATTTTTTTTTTTTAGTAAATGATTAAATATAAGTGCAGTTTGTTTGGCCATAATTCTTTTTTACTCATTCTTTTTTGCTCATTTTGTAACCCTTTATTTATTGAATTAATTTCGCCAGCAATAACATTTTTAATTTCAGAGAAAACCCTTTAATTAAAACTCTAGGATGCTATACAATTTTTGCTGGGAAAACTCCTCAATTGCTGTCTATTAATAGCCAAAACCCTGGCAATTAAATGTAAAACATTACAAAAAGAAACAAAAAGCTCGAAACTCGTCTTTTGTTCGAGTGTTCGACGCGAGTCAGCCTGTCAAATTTCATGAATGAACCCTCAAGCGCAATTCAAGAAAAACTCGAGCAAAAACCGCAAACAACAAAAAGCCCCATGCACAGAAATAGAAGCTTCGTCAAGTTGGCCAACGAAATTGTGGGTTTAAAATAGCCAGAGCCAGTCATGAAATAGGCGAAAAATAGCTCCACGAGTTTGCCAAATGGCGCAAACTCTACCCGGAGAGCTCTCGTCGCTCTCTTGCTCGCCTTCTTGTACATGCCCCATTGGGTGTCTCTTTTTGTGACATAGGCCAGGCCCGCGTCACGCTGCTCGTCGCCTGATTACTTTTGATGAATGAAAAGCTTTCTGGTTTGCCTTGCCGCTATCTGCGCGGCGTGTAGAGTGAGTAAAAAGGGAAAACTCCTTCTCTGCCACCCTCGCCACACCAAGCCCCCCAAGCCCACCAAGAGCCTTTTGCTATAGTTGTAAAATTGCGACAGCTACTGACGTCCTGGCCCCATGCATAGTAAAAGCTTGCTGAGACAGTGTGTGTGTGTGTGTGTGTGTGTGTGTGTTCGTATTTGTATGTGCATCTGTGTGTGAGTGTATGGGGAGTGGAGTGAGTGGGAGCCCGAGCGTCACATGTCTTTTTTTGGGCAGCATGACTAATATAAGCAAATGCCTATCGCGTCGCAGGATGTGGGGCACATTTGGCGACATGCCAGAGCAGATACGCATTCTTGGCCGAAATGCGTCTGTGTAACTGGTAATGGCTGCTTTTCACCGGCGGATACGGCCAGGGGATATGTTGATGTCGTCACTGAACCCCAATAGATTCTCTGTTGAATCATCGAGCGTGGAGTGTGAGTGTTTTCATTGTTTCATTTTATTGCTTCGGGCTTATATTTTTTTTAGACTGGCGAAACAAAGAAAACTTTGCGTATGACAGATTGAACTTTGGCCTCATGTTCGGAGGTGGGTTCGTTCTCTCCTTCAACCATTTCATCTGCAAGATGTTGCTCTTTCTACGTTGTGGGGGCGGTAAACGTCATAGCTTTTGACGTGGTTGTGTCGCAGCTCGTCTAAATTTGACTCGAATTGGGAAGAGATAGACAAACTTTGCGGTGTTCCCAAAATAGCAAAAAATAACTCAAAAATGCCACGATAATAGCTCTGGATGTTGCTGAAATCTCATGTAGTTGCATCACTGCTTATTTTATGTTTTTTTTTTTTTAGTTATTTCTTTGAGTATTTCAAATGAATATTTTATTAATTTATTGCAGCTTGTTATTCATAATTAAAAAAAAAATGAATAATAATAAATTAAAATTTTTATGCTGGCCTCTATAAATTTCTGGAATACCTCATATACGAGTACACATACATACATATGTATGTATGTACATATGTACAAATATATGCATAATAATAATAAATGTACGTACCATGTGTGTGTGTGTTTGGGTTTGGGTTTGGTCGCACGCCTGGCATCTACCGAATGTGCCATCATTAGTTTTGTCATAGTCATAAATCATGCGGCACCCCACCACCACCCCCGCCCCATGAGCGGCAACTGTAGCCGGCAGCACGCCAACGAAGACTGGATGGCAGGAAAACATACACGTTATGGCTGCATTGCTAATAATGTCACGTAGCACAGCTTTTGACAGTCAAGTGTCACATGCTCCGGCTACAATCCTTGGGGTATGGCCATGATTATACGCTGCTTAACATGTCCAATTATGTAGGAACTTCTTGGATTTAAGCAGCAGCCAAAGCAAGCCCTAGAAAACGCCAAAAAATTATACCATTTAAAACTGCTTCGATCAAAAATAAATTTAATTGCAAAAAACTGTACATAAAATTCGGGCTGAAAATTATGCCAAAACATACGCAAGGACAAACAAATAAACACGAATATTGTGGGGGGCGAAATTTCATTTCGCTTAGTTATCTACGCGCCGAAATCGTGCCGAGCCTCAAAGAGAGGCTGAATGGGCAGGCAGTCAGCCTTGCCTTGCCTGCCTGGCAAGGAGGCGTGCAAATCCTTGTCCTTGCCTGGCTAAGACATTTTCTTTCTGTGTTGCTCTGTGGGCAAATGAAGTGCAAATTATGCCAACGGCCAGTGCACGGAAAAGCGCGGAAAACAAAGGCGCTGAAGGAGCGCCAACTGCCTACCGCCTACACACTCGCCCCGAAAAGTATGCAATTCATTTTGTGTAAACATGGAATCGGAAATGGGAAATGGGAAACAAGAGGAAGTGGCTGTGGCTATGAGGGCGACGGGGCTTGGTGGGATTACATGGCAAAGCATAACTTTATTGAGGTTGGCCTGGATCACACCTCCCTGCCCTGCCCTTCCACAGCCCTGCCACGCCGAATGGCTTGCGCGTGGCATTGTCAGCACAATCGGCGCCACTTAAAATGTTCGCGTGTAGTCTGTAGTTTGTGGCAACCTCGGTTTGGAGCGTGCCCCTTGTGTGGGGGGGATAGGCACATGGCTCGACATCTTGTTGCGCCTTTGTCCATGTACCACGGTCAATGCTCGAGCTCTGGTCAATGTCAGCCTGACGTCAGCGGCCTCCAAAACCCGCCATCCACTTCTCCATCCAGCACAAACTCCACAGCGGCCCCAAGGCCAAACAAAACGGGGCGTCCAATGTCGCGTGACGCACAAGGATATTGAGTTCTTTGATTGTTGTTGCTGCTTTTTTTGCCAGCTTAGATGAATTTCTTACGGGCCTGGCCGCCTTTGTCTTGCCACTATTATTTGCCTTGTCACGTGTTTGCTCAGCCAATTAGAGTTATGGTGCGACAAAAAAAAGCGACCAAGTCGCAGAGCTTTCTATGGAGAGCTTTCACTTAGTGTGTGCATGAACCTTGGATAAGGAACTTTGAATGACAGGCGCGGCTAGATGGGGGGTTAAGCGCCCAAATTCGGGCTGGACTTCTATGATGCCTGAGAGGAAATTCCAACATCGATAAAAAGTGCCCAAGGCTGCCAATATCGTGTCTATTATCCATTTGCTCTTGGCAGAATTGTATTTTCACTTATGTATTTTATTTATTTGCTTGTAATATTTTGGTTCGTCAATGATTTAAAATTAAAGATTGTTAACAAACTGAATTCACGTTCTCGGAGCTTTGACTAGAAGTGCATCACACACACGCGAGGGCATACAAGGATGCTCGTACTCGATTCTAAAATCGTGTGATCTTGTTGCTTTCGGGCGAGGGAGGCAGCGAGGAGACCGATGAGCGTGAAGGACTATGCTGTGGCCGAGGTGGCGGACGTTGGGGATTGATGTTGGCATTGGCCTGCCGCAGATTGGCGAAGAACTGCTGTCGTCGTGGGCCGCCGCCGCGCAATGGTAACGTGGGTATCTCGCTGGGCGACTGATGGTTCATCTCCTCCTGCGAACAGTGGCGCATGGCGGGATTCACGCACTCATAGACACTCTAGAATAAATTCAAATATTAAGATATATGCAAATATAAAGATATATCCAGTGAGAACCCACCTGTTCTGAGGAATACTGATTGTTTTGGGCAAATGCCAGCGATGTGAGCGAGGGAAGGGCCTGGGCAATGTCCGAGCGTTCAATACCCCGCACAATGAGGAAAGAGCGCGGTATCAGAATGCCGACAAGCACGGCCCAGCCCGAGGCCTGCAGTCCAAGCGGAATGGCAGCATCCCGCCACTCGTCACCGAACAGAGAGAGAACAATCCAAGCGACCCAGATGACCATGATGAGCACAGCGCCGATGACAATGAGTATGCCCTCGCGATAGTTGCGCTGCGAGCGATATATGAAGGGGATCAGGGCCGCCACACTGCAGAGCAGCACAAAGTCGTAGGACAATAAGCCCCACAGCCAGTGGCCATAGTAGAGATTCTCGCAGGACACCGCCTCGGAGGCCACGTGCATCACGACCAGCAGCTGTACAGACATGCCCACCTGAACAAAGACACTGAAGACACAAATCACGGCCTGTATATAGCCATTGACGTGGGACAGGAAGCCGCCCTCAGAGCCAATAGAGGCGAGCATCAGGGCCCTGCATAGAAGCAACGAGAACACAAAGCAGTATAACAGAGACATGATGAACACCCGCACCGCGCACAGCGTGTTGAGGGTCTGAGCATCCTCGAAGGTGACGTGCGAGTTGCGCTGCTCGCCAACATACTCAATGGAGAAGGGGACAAACGAGAAGAAGACCAGGATCAGCGAGAGGAGCAGCAGTATCGAGGTGACTGGATTGCCCTCGAAGACATCGCCCACCGAAATGCGCACCACAATGAACACCAAGATGGCCAGCGTGGCTATCAGGCCTAGAATGGCGGCCGTCAGTCCCGTTGCCACCCACGTGTCCACTTTGAAGCGCCAGAACATGACCGACTCGCCGTCGAACAGGAACGGATAACGGCGGTTCTCACCAGCGCTGTACTGACAATCGAACACCTGACCGAACTTTGTCTTCAGCTCTAGGCTGGTGCTGTTGTCGCGATTGTAGTGGTAGTAGGTGGTCACGTTGCTCACTAAATTTTGCGAGGCAATCTCTCGCAGCTCTGTGCGGGTTTCCTTCGAGATATTGTCGATGGTCAGCACCTTTTTCTGGTACATCTGGAAATTCATGGAGGTGGTCAGCTTGCGCATGAGCAGCAGCGACAGAATCTCTGCAGTCTCATGCGCCTGACGATACTCGGACGTGCGCCAGTCCTCAATGAAGTTGAGAAAATTAAAGCAGCTCTCCAGCACGTACATTTCCCCATCCCGTTTGCAGTGCTTGGCCAGGGAGCCGCGCAACCAGTGCATTAAATCCACCAGCGGATCGGCAAAGCTGAGCACTCTCGAGGGCAGCACACTCTTTCCGATCAGCACCTCATCCAGGGTGGTGGACGTGGGATCCAGTTCGTTGGTGGTGCCCAAGTCTATTTCTTTCTCCATCAGGATAAATGCTCTGTTGGGAAGATCTGTGGAAAAGAAAATAAATGGGCTAGATATTAATTTATATATGTTAAATGTTGCTATGCATTTTGTGGAATTTACTAAAATATTTTAATTAGTTTATTTATCTCTCTATTGTCTCTCAGCTACCGAGCATAAAACAGTCGCTAATTCTACTATAATTTTAATATCATTATTTGTATTCACCTGCCAGGAACTCAGCATCAGTACGGTCGGTGGGCACCGCAAAGAGGGTGCCATTCTCCTTGAAATGGCTGGCCATCTTGTTGCCAAACAAAATGTAGACATTGTCCTCGCTCTTGAAGTGCATCAGACACATGTGCTCCTGACGGGCGGCCTCCATGAATTCATTGTACATCTCCAGATTCTCGGTAGCAATCTCAACGGACGCAATTTTGTCGCCCCAAGGCATTTGATGCAACAAATGTGCCACCTTGGGGAAGAGATAGGACCGTGTGCCTGGAATGGGCCAGATATTGTACTCCAGATCTTTGATGATGGACTCGAGCTGCTTGTACAGTTCATAGTCCATGAATATGCCCAAGGAGTACTGGGTGCACTGCTGCAGATATTGAACCTCCTGCAGGAGAATGCTCTCCGCCAGGCTGACGTTATCAATATTGATGGCACGAAGTCCTATGGATAAGCGGGTTATTTAACAAGTCATTTAACAAGCTGTGGGAATGGGTTGCTTACCTATTTCAAAATCTGCATTTATGAGATTCGCTTGGTTCACTCGATTGACTACAAAGAGGGCCGAGATGGGATCCTTGGTCAGGACACTAAGCATCACATCGCCCTCTATAATCTGAACGAATTCATCTTGCTCTCGTATGAGGGTTCCTTCGTCCGGGCTGCTGATTGTCAACTGCAGTCCATTGAGACATATCTCTGGCACTAAGCTGGCCGTTGTGCCACTGCTACTCCCCCCACTGCTGCTGCTGCTGCTGATGCTCTCCTCCGTAGTGGAAGAGATAAGTGGGGCCAGCTGGCCCTCCCCCGGACTGGAGGAGGCTCCCTCGTCAGTTGTGGAAGCTTCAGTGGTGGTTGCCTTGGATGTGCTGCTGCTGCTGCTGCTTGGCCTTGCCTGCTGTGTTGGTGCTTGCGGCTTGGTGATTCGCAAAGGAGCAGATTTCCTGGTCGGTGATGACACCTCCACTCCATGGCAATCGTAGACACAAAGTAGTATGATTAGGACACAGAAGAGCGCTGCATATTGATAATGAAGTGTTGGTTGGCATTAAATGTATGTATTTCAGCACGCATTAAATTATTTTATAGCAGACTCTTGGAATAAATGTCTTTATGTAAATATAGTATATAAAAGCCCTCCTAAGTGGTCGCCATTGTCCACTTCTCTCCATTTCTTTGAGGCTCTTCTCCATTCTTCTTTGTGTGTGCAGTACTCACCCAATTGTAATGGCCTCCTCGTAGCAGACTGTCGCGGACTCATGACCTTTCTGCTTAAAATTGTATGCTTTTTAATTTAACAAAAAATGCTCGTTTTTGCAGTCTTTCTCTCTTTTAACAATTACGGAGACGGCTAATTATTGGCATTTTATATCCACACACTAAAAACACAGAGAGGAAATTTTAAGTTTTTAAATTGGACATTGGAACACACGAGTAACGAGTAACAGGCAGGGCAGGGCAGGCTGGTGCTGGTGCTGGTTGAACACGAGTTTGAAACGTTATGCGAACATTTGCAGAATTTTAATTTTAGCTATTGCCATTTTTCCATGCCACTTCAACCATTTGCCGCTCTGTGCCACGTTGCGTTGCGTTGAGAGTGTGTTGCACTTTAATCGCATTAAAAATTGTCACACTAACACAGCGAAAGACTTTGGCTTGGCACAGTTTCCTCTCTGCCACATTTTCCGACTCTTCGTGATTTTCCCCACTATCAGTGTAAAGTAATGCGTTGGAAAATATTTATTTTTCTCATATTCTTTTGCGTTCAAGAAAATCAATACATAGTATTTCTTTTTGTTGCTAAAATTTATTATTTCACTTTTCACATCGATTCGCGCACTCTTATTTGCTAGTGAACCATCTGACAGTGTGGGCCACAATAATTTCGGTTTGAACCAAGGCAAAACAACAACAACAACAAAAAGAATGATGGCAACGCCTCAGTGATTTTAGGGTCAATTAAACGTTTCTCGTTTTATATTTGTCCACTGAGGTACACAGTTCCCCACCCACACACTCAAAAACTATACGGGTGTACGTACTCGTATGTATGTATTTTTTTGTGATCGTTCTGTGGACAATCAATTTGATTTGGGTGCCCGTCGGTTAACGGGTGCAGTGCATTGCAATGGCTAGACAAAAGAGTACAGAGTCAACGTTGCAATTATGTTCTATTGGCTTTTTTATTTCGTTTTATTTATTTTTTGTTTTCACTGCTTGAACCCACCCTCGAAGCAGCTAAACGCGGAACACTGTTGTGGCAATGTTCTGCACCTGTTTTGGCTGTTGGCTGTTTTGTTTTGACTAACTTGGCTTAGACCGGGCACTGGCTCGTTGTTATGGTTATTGGCTCGAATCGTCACTCAACATTGAGTGGTTTCCTCGCCACACTGTGCCGTGTTTCATAATTATAAGAGCAAATATGTACGGCTAGGTGTACTGCCTGCAACCCCTGATACGACTCCGAGCATGCCTCGAAGCCAGTTCAAATATTGGTCATTGCAATTAGTCGATTCACTGAAGAAAGTTTCGGGTTGCACATTCGAAGGGTGGCCTGCAAGCTGCCCCCTGCCCATAGGTGCTCGCGCTGGTCGAGCAGTAATTATAATTGGAGAACTAATATTGGAAAAGCTTTGACAGAATTCCCAGAACTACCTATCAAAGTTTACGCTTCGAATCTGCAGCTAGCATAGCCATACAAAATGTCATCCTTGGCTATTAAGCAACCACACTGACAGACAAACAGACAGACATGAGCTTTGACATTGGCCCAGCCCAGCCCAGGCCAGCCCAGGCCGAACTGCCGTATGGCGCGTTTCCGGTTTTCGGGCTTTTGCATAACACTTTTAATTAATGTCAAAAGCAAACAGCAGTTGAAAAACTACAAATTGCATTTAGTCACATTCCTCTTTCCCCTCCGGGACTCTTGCGTAAGTTCAATTCGCAAATGTCAGAAAGTCCAGTTTTAATTACAGTTTGGGGGCGATTCGAAGGCAATTTTCAGGCATCACTTGCTAGCTTTTTTATTGCAATTTTTGTTCTATGCAAATAAATAAATATTACACTCTGCACACACGCACACAATATGTCGCCTCTAGACCACGTTCACGATGCAACTGTTTTTTTGGTCTGCAGCAGAACTGGAAGCACTGGCAGAACTGTGGCCGCCGTAAGCCCATAAAAATGCAGCTGCATGTTAACCAGGCCTGGCCGCTCGCACCGGCCTAAGGGTTTGTGGGGGTGGTTAGGTCTTGCTCTTCACTCGTCGCACTCTTTGACACACGGCGCACTAAGGGAAAAAAAAGCCACGTAGAACGGCCTAGAATGAGGCTTTTAAGTCTATGTAAATCCAAGTAATATACGACTTTGAAAGTTAAATATATATTTTATTTAATATTAATGGTTGAACCTATAGCGGACCATTTGCACTATATAGATGCTTGTTTATCTTAGTCAATTCTGATGTTTTCCAGAATTTAAAATTACATTCCTGATTTTTTTTGTCAGTGCATTTATTTATGTGTAGTTTTGGTGTCAGCCCGGGTGCAGCTTTATGTTATTTTTGCAGTCAATATAATACAGTTATTAGTGACACCAATAGACATTACTTGACTGGTACTGTGACTGGGATTGGTGTGGGGCATATAGGTCAAAGCTTAAAACAAATTCAATTTGCATTTTCTTGTATTTTTTTTTTTATTATAAAAAGATTTTCCCGAGACAAATCAAATGAACACATGGAAATATGTATAGATAACACGTTAATTTCTCGTTAATTTATGTAAATATTTTGGACAGAACCTAAAGAGTATTTATGCTTTTGCTATGTCATAGAAACAATTAAAAATTTTGTGGCAGCCGAGAATACAGTCATGAACATAATAAACTGCGATTGTACTCAGGGAAAGAAAAAACGTATAAAAGGACATCTGTGTAGTGTCTGTGTGTCTGATCAGGTAGAAAATTTCTCTGCAAGGGTTGTGGTTGTAAAAAGGGGTGGGGGGGGGGGTATGGATGGGGGTATGGTATGGTATCTATTGCCCATCCCCGGCTCCATTGTTGGACTGCCTGCGGAACGAGTTGACGGCTGCCGGCGCACGAGATGTGACCGCACCGCTGGGATATTTCAGGCCACAGTCGTCGTCGTCACTGCATGAGGTCATCTCATCGGAGGACATTTGAAAGTCTTCCAGCTCGGAGTAGGCCTCATCCATGCTGTCGCCCATCATCTCTCCCTCGTGCTCATCGCTCGTCTTCTTCTGACTGGCAGCAGCGGTGCGAGCTGCAGGCTTATTGTCGGTTCCACAAAGTCCTAGTACGACATTCGATTTGGCCTTGGCGATCAAGCTCGCCTCCATCTTGTTGAAGGCATCGGGTGTCATCTGGTTCTGGCTGCCCATATCGTTTTGCTGGATCTGTGTGCAGAAGCGTTGTATGTGCCCCAACACTTCGGCCACTCCCAGTTGCGAGGACTGACCGAGACTCTGATCCGATGACGACTTGTGCGGCTCAGTGGTCTGCTGCTGGTGCGGCGCTTTCGAAGTGGTGCGGTATGTACAAGGGTTCTGCACTTTGTTGGTGTTGCTTGTGGGCATCTTGCCACGCTCTTGGGTAGAGCCGGAACGCTTGGGCGCCTTGCTATTGAACTTCTGGTTGGACATTGGACGGGCATTACCCCCCAGAGTGGGTGCAACGCCAATGGCAGCAACATTTTGCTGCGATGGATTGCTCGAATCTGCGGACGGATTGGTCAGCATCGCTTGGTGCTGAAAGAACATTTTATCGTACTCGGACTTCATGCACAGATACCGGAAGTGGCGCGAGTTCTCCTCGCCATAGTGAACGAGCTCTGCGGAATGGCATATAACAATTAGGGATTATATTTCAAGTTTCCAGCGGATACACCTACTGCCGGCAACCGTCTCCTGCAGCTTGTCCAAATGTTCGTTTGTCTGCTTCAGTTCCCCCGAAAAGCGTTCGATCTTGGTGCCAAGATCTCGAAAGTTCTTGAACAGGGTTTCATTAATGGTGTTCTAGATATAATTAGTGCATAAAATATCATGAGAGTAAGGCAATGTGTGAGTCGATCACCTACCCCTATGGCTGTCTGAACGGTCTGGCGTATCAGTTCGAAGAACTCCTCGGGATCATCGTCCTTATCGTCATCAGTGGCCGCACTCACACGGGGCTGGCTCGTTGACTGCAACTGTCGTGGACACGTGTGCTTTTGATGAGGATGCTGAGGATGCTGGTGTGGGTGTGCATGGGCATGCGAATGTGCCACATTCTGATGCTGATGGCTGCTGTGATGGGTCAATTGTTGCTGGTGCAGCTGGTGCTGTGGTGGGTGCGGCTGCATCGCACTCATTTGGATCGGCATCTCCATCGGCATGTGGTGTGTGTGCTGGTGCGTGCGACGTTTGTTGACCGAACCGCTGGTCCCGCTGGGTAGTAGCATATCCTTGTCGGAGAGCTCCGTGTCTGCGTTGTTGTTGTCGCCATAGTTGGTGCGCTGTGTGACGGACTTGCTGAGGGCGCGACTATGCCGTTGCTGATGTGGATGCGGATGCGAATGCTCTTTTGGCTTGGCCAAGCTGTAGACACTGTTGTTTACCTTACCATCGGGCATAGCGAAATGGGCAACCTTCTGTATTTGGGACTGACGTCCGGTGATCTTGCCGCCGCCCATGTTGCTACGCCGCGTATTCATGGCACTGTATGGCGACGGCTGGGGCTGCCCACCAGGCATCAGATGGGCCTGGGATGAGTGCGCTAGAATACTGGGGTTATTTCGCAAGTTTGCCGCCGTCAGGGGAAGATTCGTCTGAATGTAGTAGTCGTTGTCCGTCATAAAGCTGCGCTGAATGCGTGTGTCCGGCGGACGCAAGTGTCCCAATCCAGCAGCAGCTGCTCCGCCCCCAGCTGACGCATTGCGTCCGGTCTTCTGTGCGGACGCCCTGCCCGCCTGGGGTATGGCCTGTGACTTGGCCGAATGGATACCTTCCAGCTTGGAGCCATATACCTCTTCGATCACCTTGCGTCGATTGGAGCGTATCATCTTCATATTCAGTCAGTTGTATGTTAAAATCGGAAGTGGAACACAAATCAACAAATTGTCACTTGCAATTGACACTCTTCCGCGGGAGTTTTCTGTTTTCGTTTGTTTCTATTAATATACGTAAAAGTTTCGGAATTTTCCAAAAAAAATTCTTGTAAAATTTTGTTGATTTACATTTAGTATGTTGTTTCATCCGATGACTTAGCTTGTATGAGAGCACACACAGCGCACGCAAGATGGAGAGCCTACTTGATTAGTTAAAGTGTACGGATTCAGGTTTGTAGAGTCGGTAAATTAAATGGAATCAAAGCAACATTTTCGAAATTCAAAAAGTATTCTTCTTATTTATATTTTAATAAGAATCAATTTAAGTTTTAGGGCTTGATAATTTATCGTATAAATTAATTATTGCTTTGTTTTCAACAGCAAAACAAAGATTAATGAACTCAAAATGTATTCCAATTGATTAAGCATTGCCCAAAACTTGACTACTTGCAGTGCACATTTTCACACCTTTCATCCATATTCCCATCGATTCATTATTCATGCGGGGCAGACTTCTTCCCATAAATTTGTTTACCTTTTGCCGCTCCACTGGCCGCGCAAGGCAATGACAAAGACCAAAGACCGCAGAGAGGAGAGAGGATAGCAGACCAATGTTCGGTTCAATGTTTGCGGCTTCCATTCATTGACTTTTTGCCGGAAATATTTGTGTGATTTGATGTCAAATCAAAATGCTAATGAGCCTCTGCTTCTGCTCTGCTTCTATGTACATACATTGCAGCTGATTGCGACTCTTACTTTAGCTGGGGAAGTGGTTCATTCGCTTCTTGACAGCGCATAAAAAATTATTACAAATATTTATCCGACTATTTACCTTTGAACTGCCTTCGGGGTGCAAGTGCAGATGTGTATCCGAGGCGAAGGATTCGACAGCTGAGCCGCGTGGCTCGAATCCATAAGTACACAACTTTCTGGCTAGCTAGCTTTAAGGCCCGCAGCCTCAAGTCTACGAGTCTGGACTTCCAAAAATAGACCGCTTGGCCTCAGGTTACAGACACTTAAGACGTACTCGTTTAATAAAACTGAAAATAAAGGGGAAAAAGTGAAGAAACAAAAAAAGGAAAGGAGACGGAAAGGAAAAAGGGGCTCAATAAAGCGTTGGCGGAGACCCTTTAAAAATTGGGTCAACTGTCGCCGGGACTGTGCCTTGAAACAAAAGACCCATCCATGGAATGTTGCATTCTACACCCATTCTGAAACCATTTCTCTTGCCCTTGATGGCCCCATTATGCAAATTGCGTATACGACGTGTGTGCGTGAGGGGTGGCATGGGCATGGGCATGGACCTGGGCCTGGATGGGGGAAGCTGCAGAAGACATTATCAACTGCCGCATGCAGATAATTTAACTGACAATCTGTTGCATGCGTCGGGCCACAAACAAAGTTATTATGTACCACATAAGATGAGATCTGCTGGGATAATTTTAATTTAATGTAACGCCTTCCGGCCTTGCTCGGTTTCCATTTCTATTCAAATGCTCTCTCGAGTGCAGCTCATTTCCTATGCAAGTGAGTGTTTTGTGTGTGTGTGTGTGTGGGTGTTTGTGGCTTTGGCATAAATATAAGCCATGAGCCATGAAACGCCGACGACAGTCAACGTTTTGATAACTTATTGTATGATTCCTGCCAGTGACTGGCTCTGGTTCTGTTTCTAGTCTGGCCTGGTCGTGTCCTGGCATCCATGCCTGCAGTTGACCACAAGCCCCATTCTCTCACTGTCTGTATTGTGAATTTGCCTTCATACTTGCCCCATTATGTATATTGCACAATGCGGAATACAGAGAGAGAGTGAGAGAGGGAACTGGGATCAGATTGTTTTTTCATTTGATGCAATTCCATGAAAAGCCGCTACTAAGCGCATGTGAGTGCCGACTGCCATCCGAACTGAAGAGCTTAAGTATTCATGCTGCCATGGTAATGCAAAATACCAGCACTTGTTTATATTCATATTCATCTTTATTATTAGCATTTCAGTAGAAATGATTTTGATTTCTGGTTTTGGTCTGTCTGTGTGTGTGTGGGAACATCTGTTGAATGGGCACAAAGATTTGGTTTTAGGGGATGAATGACCAAAACGTGCACCATTTGAAACGAATATTAGTCATTTTCATTATGTGAAACGATAAATTTGCTGGGACCAGAGCATTGGACAGGCTTAAGGCAGCGAAATTTCCAAGAAATTTATCACCCAGAAAAGATTAGGCCGCAATGAAGATAAATCAACAAAAATTCTGACCACGTGTCGTTTGGCCACAAATTCACAAGTGGCTCCAATTTATAAGCCACAAGAAATGACGAGTATTACTGTTTTTATTTCTTGTATTTTATTTTATTTTAATTGCAGGCAAGCCAATTCAAAGGCCAGCGGCAAGCGAGTGCAGCAGACACATACAGACACATAAATTTGTTAGCTGTCAGCAAGATCTTCAAGAGGACTTTTCTCTGTCCACCCCGAAATACGTCACTTGAACAATTTTAGTTTTCTATTCTTGGTGGCATGAGGGTGCAGAGGAATTTCTTTGTATGCTTATTTATGAACTATATTTCCTAGAATTTTCTTTTATTCAAATTCTTCTTCCCACTTCAGAGTATCCAAGACTCGTTGACTTGATGAATTCTTCAACGTTCTCATTTGTAGCATTATTTATTATGCGCAGTACACACACGTACGTACATATGTACATATGTGTAATTTTAACGCCTATTTATTTGCTTAATTTAAGAGCTATTTATTGTTGCTTAAATAAATTTTAAGCATTCACAGTTGACACACAGACATGACGGGCCGACATCGCGTTGGCATCGCCCGAAAGAATAGTCCCCGCTCTCTCTCTCTCGCTCCATCTCTTTCCCTGGCTGCTGTATCCGGGCCGTGTGCTTTATGACAAAATGTGCACAATAAATAAACGCTACAACAACATAAATTGCCTACAGATATCATTCAAATAAATTTGTTATTTATGCTATGCGATGATGCCAAAGTTTCCAACAAATTGTTCGATTTGCGTTTCGTTTTGCGGGTCTGTCGTCTGGCTCTGACTCAAAATTGCAGCTGCTGTCGCTTTGTTTTATTTTGTTTAGGCTTTTCAATAAAAAAAAATTGCCTCGGCTCGGCACTTTGATTGGTGATGATTATTCGAATTCGCAGTGTTTTGGCTGTGATGGCTTTTTGACATGCATTCGGAACGGAACATTTCTTTATGATATTTGCATGGTTTTTATGACGTATAAAAGATCAGTGAGGTTCATATGTCTTTTGTTTTAAGGCGGCGCACAACTCTGAATGAAATGATAAATACAATTCATCGGTATGTGGGTCAGCACAAAAATTGTTTTTGCATCACTTCAGGCGGTTCAATTAAAGTCATAAATATGACGGCGGAAAAACATGGCACTGTCGTGTGTGCGATGTGCTTTTACAAGGCGGCTTCTATTTAAGTGTTGTAATGTACGCGTAAATAAAAATGTCAGCATATAAAAATCGTGTTGTTTGCTTATCCACAGCTTATCCATTGAGCCCTCATATGGACTTGCCGTTGGGGCAGGTACATTAAATCGATAAAATTGTAACATACAAATTCCCTAACTAATCCACTTATTGATGATCAAATCCGACACCCATCTCTCCCTTACCTACTTCGCTGCTATCATTCCTTTGATAAGAAAGCTTCACATTCACCGAATGTTGCGCAGCAGTAAGCTCTCCTCAAACTGCCAACAACATGTGGCTGGGCAAACATGCTGCCAGCCTGAAGGTTGCCAGCCAACGGCAGTAGCAACAATAATTAATTGACCGACCAGTCGCCACAAATATTAACTCAACACTTGAAGCACTCTGGCTCCACATCCGCATGGCTTGGTCAAGTGCAGTGGCAGTGGCAGCAGCAGCAGCAGCAATAGCAACAGCAACAGTGGTAGCATCATGTTGACACCCTGCCACACGAAGAACAAGCAAAACGAGTTCGGCAACATAAACAAAAAACAGCTGTTTCTGGGGGGACACGAGTCGGCTTCTGGAGCCGGCTGAAGCTTTGTGAAGTGAAATCAAGCAGCATGCTGCCTCTGTCGCTGCCGCTGCCGCTGCCTGCCTCGTGCGTCGTCGTGGCCATCGTCGGTGTCGGCAACAGCAGCGGCAGCAACACCATCAGCAACAGCAGCAGCAGCCCAAACAGGAAAATCCGTACAACGATGCCACACAGATATTCAGTTCAATCCGAAATTTTGTTTGAACCAGACGCGAAATATCTTCACGCTGCTTGGCCAAAGAATTGCGTTGGCAAGTGCGTAAAAATTGTTAAAAGCAAAATGTGCTTAGTGCAAAAAACTATAGAATAAAAACAATATATACAAAAATATTTTTAAATTTTAAAAGAAATAAGGATACGAAATTTCTCAGAGAATCCTCTGTGAAGAAAGTTCTGTGTGAATAAGGCTAACAATCAATTTGGCAGCTCAATCAGGGCCACTGTCCGGCCATCGCGTGTGCATCTTTAAGATACTTACAAGACAAGAAAGTAGTCAACCGTGGCAGGGGCAGTTGCAGTGACTGCTGCTGCTGCTGTTGCACCTCCGGCTCATCGAAGCCATTGAAGTCGAGTGAAATTTGTTCGTGCCAAATTTGCAAATCGAAGTGTAATTCCCAAGCCAATTGGTTGGCAGCAGCACTTGTTCAACACATTTTTGAACACCAAACTCAATTTCAATTTGAATTCGAACTGTAATTTCCATCTACGTATCGAGTGCACCTTATGCCATTGGAACTGGAGCTGCAGTTGCAATTCATGCCACGGCAAGCAGTTTGAGTGAGTATCAAGTTGCGATTGCGCAATTACCAAGCGCCATGCCTTGCACTCCTTCTCCATATGTCTCCCTCTTAGCTCTTAAGTATCCATTCAATTTATATATTTGTTCGCATTTAGTTGACAGTGATTAATCTTAACATTTGAATGCAAAATCATGCTGGCACTAGCAACAGCAGCTTAGCAATTAATTTACACATATTCTATGGATTTTGGACTTCCATTCCGTGTCTCTGTGCCCCTCAATTATGCATGGGGCATGCTACACATCTGAGACTGTGTCTGACAAAGGATGGCACAGTTAATTGAATTTTGCTTCAGTTCACCACAAATACCTCTACATTAAAATGGATTGAAAGGCATGGGATTTTATTAGGGATTCAAATGAGTGCCTGAACTCGTTTGTAAAGTTTAATTGGATTCATTTCAATAAAATATTCCCCATAAATTCTATCGTTGCAAACGATGTATTAAAATTTAATTAAATTATTTGACAGTAATGTTAGACATTTGCTTAACTGGAAACGTTAGACACATGACATGCCGCGCTAAGAGTTTAAGTAGACATAGCAAATATCAAGGCAACTGCGCAAATAAACTTTATTTTCGTAGAATAATATTTACACTTTAAAATTCATTTCGAACACTAATGCTCAACATGCTCTTCTACAAACAAGCCAGCAAAAAAACAAAAACAATTTCATTGAGACAAATTGGTGAGGGTTTTGATAATCGCCAGAATCATGGAATAAACAATAATTTATTATCTGAATAACAAAGCCAAAGAAGAATAAGAATATTAATTCAAATAAAACCTACGCACTTTATATTTAAATGAGATGATTTTATTATTATTGTGTTTCTCCATCAAAATCTAAAAATATTACATTTAAATATTCCTAAAAATAATTCTTTTTTTTCTGTAGTTTTGGTGCACACACAACATTTTCTGAATTCCCCTATAGTTTCAGTCCAAAAATTATTAGTGGTTTTTGTTGAAACTTCTTTGTTTTATTCATGTTTTTGGTTGTCCCACCACTTGGCAGGGTTCAAGTTTAATATTGATGCCAGATGGAACCACAAACCGAGCATGTCATACTGTTGTAAATGAATAAACTATCGCAAAGTTTGTGCGGCTGTTTTGTGGCTAAAAAATTAAGTTTAGTGGCGAATAGTTGTCAATTTGTACTAAAGTCGTGGTGCGTTTTCCAGGAAGTTCTCAAGGGCAGATAGGCCGCCCCAAAAGTAGCACATTTCTGAATCCAAAATGAGGAACAGAGGCCTCCATAGTGGCTGGCAATTAATAAGAAAATTGCAGCCAGACAAAGTTCAGAAAGGGTACTTTCTGGAGAAGAAGCCAACACCCCCCCTCCCACCAACTTTTCCAGCTTCATTTGTTGTTTGGAGTGGGTACGGAAGTTGCCGAAAAAAGCAAAAAGCAAAAAGCAATCCAAGCACAAAGCACACAGAAATTCAAGTAAATAGAAAAACTTTCCAAGCCCCCAGAAAAAAAAATGCGTGCATTGAATGTCAGTGAAAAGTCGGTTATGAGCAGTCCGCCCCCACAAACACACACACACACTCCCATAGAGAACCCGAGACGACCACAAGGACAACTTTATCCCCGCCTCAAAGTCAATCTCTCGCTCCACGTCTCCGAATGTATCTTTGTGTGCGTACGGGTACGATATGTGGGTCAGCGTGGTGCGGTGATTGTGATTGATCTGCGTTTAATGCCATTTTGTTGTTAGACGGAAGCGTAAAAATGGTCAGCCCTGAGCGATGATGTGGCACAAATCTCTGCCAGAGTGTTCGGGGTTCGGCTGCCATCCGATACATCCTACACATGCTCGACATATTTATGAAGTTGTTAGTTTGGCCGGGCAACCGCTGACATGCAATACGAATATACTCCAGCTCCAGCCAGCATAAGCATATGCCAGCTTGTCCTCGACCGAGTATCATTTTTACATATATAACTTTGAGCTCGGGCTAATCATGTGGTTGTGTCAGGCAGGCCTTGATGGGCTAAAAAAAAAATGCGCATAAATAATGCTGGAAATATGAGAGACAATGTGGGAGAAATTCTCGGCATTTCCACAAACAAATATCTCCATTTGCAGCACCATTCCATTTGGAACAGTTAGAAATATTAAGCGGAGACAGCAGCCAGAGTGGCAGATAGCCCAGATGTATGCAATGGAAGTGCCAGCCATATCACGTATGAATGCCGGTGGCCCGTCCCCCTAGATTGGAGCATTCTATAGAAACACACATAGAAAGACGTGCGTGTAAAATTGCAAATCAGATTTGCAGCTCTGGTTTAGACTGCTCGTAGTGCCTGATGATTTCAATTTCCAGTTGCCGGCATTTTTGATGCATTGATTATGTTATTCTCAGCATTTCAAATGCTTTCGCCGAGGGCTTTAGCAGCCACTTCCCATACAACTTTAGTTTGGGCGGTCGTGCGTGGATTCTTTAAATTTAGGAATGGCCCAGCTTCAATCCCTCACGTTCTTATCGGGGATGCGTTTGCGTTTCCCCCTAGCTATTGTTTGCCGACACAATTGAACTTCAAAGCTAATCGCTGGTTTACGTGTTTCGGCGCCATAAAAATGGAGCGAGAAACAGGAGCTTCCACTTTGATTTGGTGACTCTTCTCGGAGGGTAACTTTACACTTGACGAATTTTACATGTCATTGGATCCGGTGCTTCGGGCAGAGATGGGATGCGATGGTTTGGGATCGGCGCCAATGGGATGGGTATGGGGATGGGTATTGGCTAGCAATAACAGGAAGTAGTCGATTAAACGCCCACGTCACTTCCCCAACAGAGACTGAATGAAAAAGAGCTACACAGACATTCCATCTGTTCGTCAGTATATCAGTTTTTTCTTTTCGTCTTGCTTTTCCCATTTCCTCAGAATTTATTTTCGTATTCGTATGCTGCGTTGTTGCCTGCAACTTCCGCCCAATGTTGATCATCGCTAGTTGAATGTGCCGCTGATTTGTTGCCACTCTAATGTGCCTAATTGAATCCTCCACTCGACTTTCCTTTCCACGTATTTTAACGGCTCGTAACTTCGTAGGACCTGGAATGTGAATAAATGAAGCTAATTTATTTATTCAAGTTAAATCGTTTGAGAAATTGGGTCACAATGCTCAGGACTCCACGTTGAGTTCCAGGGAAATTTGTGTGTCTCGGCTTGATACGCAAATGATTTATATTCTTTTTAAAGCGTCGTTCCCATTCAGGACTTTAATTTCGGGATTGTACATGCTCTCTTTTCAATGGTTGTTTCAGAAAACTAGGAAACAAGCACAGAACAACAATTTGCATAAACTTTTTTTTTGGGACAACTGCAACAAGGGAAAAGTTTTTCCCTGTTTATTGCTAATTGCTCTGTTCAAATAGCACAGTGTAAATATGTTCATTCCCTCTCACAAAAAGGGGGAGAGAAATAAGAACAACATTTTAGTTAAATACTCGTTATAAAAATAACCAAATGCCAAACAATCAAATTGACTTTTAAAGCTTATTTAGGGAATACAATAAAATTCCAATTTAATAATATACATATTTACAAATGAATTATTTTCACAATTCACATCCAATTTGTTATTCTTTCAATTATTTGTCAACTTAATGTGGTTTTTTCTTCACTCAAGGGAAATGAAAAATGGCAGTAAAAAGATCAAGACCAAAACCACCAGGCAAATGCCTTTAAAAACAATGGAGAAAGAAAAGAAAAGTTTCAAACTCAATGAAAGAGACCGCAAATGTGTGGCTGCTGTGCCAGCTGTCAATGATTTGTTTCAAAAAATTCGCCTGCCGAATGTCTCGTTAAACGCACATAAATATCGTGATTACCTATAATATGCTGACTGTCTGACGGTCTGTCTGTGCCCCAGCCTCTCTGTCTGGCCTGGCCTGTCTGCCACAAGGATTCACCTTTTTTCATGGGTTTTCTGCTGCGTTTGCCAGTTTTTTTTAATGATGTGTTGGCTCCGCCTCGCTGGCCACATCCTCATCAGCATCAGCCTCAATCAAAAGGCTTTAATATAACAATTTACATTTAATTTATGCGCTGTTACCAGTCCCGGTGCTTAATTATCGAGGTGCCTGGAGGCCAATAATCGGGGCTGACATTTCAGCGGGGATCTCGGAGATTTTATTGGCCATGCAATTATGGCTGAATCGCTGAGGCTGACATTTCAATAATTTTATATTGTTATTTTTACGCCATTTATAATATAAATATCATGTTGGGTTGGAGCTGCAATTTTATTTAAATATACTCTTGAAGGTGTGACAAACAAAAATGCACAAGAAACCGGGGGCCAGCCGCACATTAGTCATGTTAATCATACTCGTACGCTACGTGTGCCGCCCTCGCATTGGTCTCAACTGCATGTGGGTGTGCTTTCTCTCTCATTCACTTAATTTTCCCTCTCATTCTCTGCGTTTTTTTAAATGGGTGCGTGTGGGCTGTAAGCCACTTAGCTTGCAGTGTTTGATATGCACTGCACATTGCATCAGACACGTAATGTGGAACCCCAAAACTCTATTTATAAGTAGGTAATGGTTTGTATAACAGCTAAAGCATCAGGCATAAAAACCAAGCATTTTCTACGCTGAAATTCTGTTTAATTCTGAAATTATATAGAGGAGAAACAGTGTGGGAGTTTTGTAAGATAACTATTGCCTTAGATCAGCTAAATATTATTTGTGTTAGAGTCTCACATATTTCATTAGCCTAATCCCTTTCTTTGCCCGCATGCACCCAAAGACACAAATTCAAGTTTAGATGTCACATAAATCTCTGCGCCAGCCAGATAGGCCAAGGCTATCAAAGTACGCGTATATTCCAGGCACTTTATCGGTGTTGGCAACTGTCTAATTAGGCGGTGCCTCGGACAGGCCCAAACTGGGGTAGAGATAAGCGATAAGGGGCAACACATGTAAACAGGTTGGATAAATGGCAACAATGGGCTGGGGCCTTT